CACGAATTTGGCGGGAACCCACTGACCACTCAAGCAACTGCTGCTTCTGCATGGTGGACCCTTCCAAACGTCGGACTGACAAGAATGCACCTGCTATTACGTATCCGGACCTTCCTTCATCGCCCAGGTGCCACACTGCCATGAGCTCCCCGTACCCACTCCTCCGGAGAGAGCAGACGTCTTTAGAAGAGAGCAGCCGTTTTTAGAAGAGAGCAGCCATCTTTAGAAGAGAGCAGCAAGTCAGAGAGCGAGGAAGACATAGATCCAGATGACAATTTCAGAGGTGGAGCTGAGGAGAGAAACCAATACTACCCCAACCAAAAAGACTTCAACGACTTGATCAGAGCGACTTGGTCTCACCAAGTCCAATGCTAAGCTTTTGACATCTTGGCTCAAGCAGTGGAACTTGTTGGATGAAAGTGTGCAAGTCACAGATCAGAGGAAGCGTCACCAACCTTTTTGCAGCTTCTTCACCCGTCAAGATGGGCTCTGCTTCTGCCACAATGTGACCAGTCTGTTCGAGGCAATCGGAATCGCCTGCAACCAGAATGAGTGGCGCCTCTTTATTGACAGTTCATCCAGGAGCCTCAAAGCTGTGCTGCTCCATAATGGTAACAAGTACCCGTCTCTTCAACCTGGCTCACTCGTTGCACCTCAGAGGATTACAACAGCATCAAGACCTTGCTAGACGCCTTGAAGTATGATGAGTACGGCTCGGAGGTCATCGGAGACTTCAAAATGGTGGCATTCCTGATGGGCTCCAAGGCGGTTTTACCAAGTTTCCTTGCTATCTTTGCCTTTGGGACGACAGGGACACCAAGGCGCACTACCACAGGCGGGACTGGCCACTGCAGACTGAGTTCTCTGTGGGGAGGAACAACGTCAAGTGGGAGCTACTGGTGGACCCCCGGAAGGTGCTGATGCCACCACTGCACATCAAATTGGGCCTTATGAAACAATGTCAGAGCTGTAGATAAGGAGTCGGCAGCCTTCAAGTACTTTCAAGACTTCTTCCCTAAGCTGTCTGAGGCAAAGGTCAAAGCCGGTGTCTTTGTCGGACCACAGATAAAGAAGATCTTGGAGTGCAATGAATTCCCCAAGAAGCTCACTAGGAATGAGAAAGCAGCTTGGAACAGCTTTGTCACAGTGGTTTGTGGCTTCCTGGGCAATCACAAGGTCGATAACTGTGGAACTGGTTGAGACTGGTGAAGAACTATGGCACAATAGGCTGTTGGATGCCCCTCAAAGTCCATATCCTTGATGCTCATCTTGATAAATTCAAGGAGAATATGGAAGTGTACTCGGAGGAGCAAGGCGAGCGCTTCCACCAGGATATACTGGACTTTAAATGCTGCTACCAAGGGACAGTATAACGAGAACATGATGGGAGACTACATTTGGGGGCTGATTCGTGAAAGTGATTTACAGTATAATCATAAATCTCGAAAAACTACTTCTACATTTTTAGTAGTCATTTTTGTATTGCTTGATAAAAACATGAACAAAGACACAAATTCGCCCGTTTTCTCATTGAAAATAGGTAAATTTCTAAATATCACTATCCTGGTCACAAAAGCAAAGTTTGTGGTGAATAGCCATTTTCTATACTTTTTAGGCATAATCAATTCCAAAATAACACTACCCAGGAACAAAAATTGTGTTACATAGTGTTATCTGTACTGGTCCTGGGCCTCCCTGTAAACACCGCCACTCGGGAGACAAAGGTGGCCAGGCATGGTGGTGGCCTGTATAGGTGCTTGCTAACAGCACTTGCCCCAACAGTCTGTTAAGGCTATATGGGGGATGTTTGTTTTGTGTTTGTGTGAGAGTTTCTATGTTGTCTCTCCCCCTGTTCTGCATGGGTTTTTCCCATGTTCTCCACTTTACCCCCATAGCTAAAAAAACACAAAGCAACATCATCCCATGCTGTAAAAAGTTGGCGGGACCCTCCTGAGATAGTCTTGACACTCAGTGAGGCTTTCTTGGTTAAACAAGCTGAATGGAAATGTTAAAAGTGGGATACATCACACTTTCTTTGGACATATGTGAACTACCGGATATCTGAAAAAGAGCTTTATAGCTAATCAGATTCTTCCAGGATAAATTATTCCAATTCTGTAATTGTATTAATTAATGCACTTGTGGATTACAATATTGAATACAATTCCTGTGCAGGTGTTCAGTGTGGTCTGTTGCATATGGCGCTCTGCACGTGCAGGCTACCCTGGAGAGCCAATGGGCATGGAGCCCATGCTGGATCATGAGCTGGGAGGGCCTCACAGAAGCCAGGACTTCCCGGAGGTGATGGGAGACCTATCCCACCAGGACCTGCCCCGCCAGGACATGAACGGGCTGCCGCCGCACCCCGGCGAGAACGGCCACATGGCCTGGTTTGACTCCGACCTCTAGGCTCCTCCCCTACAGGTGCGCACTGCTAGGCGGCTCAGTCGAGGTTGTGGCAGGCTCAGATTACATACGGGGACCGTTATGATGAGGCCTAATGTGTGTGGGGGTGGTGAGTGGTAATGCACATTCACCGCTTGTTGCAGAGGTTCGCGGTTTACATCTAGCAGACCATCCTGGTTAATACCGCGATGTGTAGAGCAAATGCAACCCCCTCTGGCCGGTTGAGCTATCGTGGTGTTGTGCTTTCGCGCCAAATTAATTGAGGTACAGTTCGCTGATAATGCCCGTGGTTCCACCATTCGCGGTTGACAGCGAGATTTCTGTTCGCGTTGTAACTGCACTACACTTTATGATGCTGCCATGGAAGAACACATGCGGTGCCGTCTTGTCTCCATCTTGTCTGCCAAGCGGCGCATCCGCGGGTCCCAGGTCATGCGGTGTTCCCAGACTCCAGTGAGGAATCTGCCACACGCGATTTTTCTTCCTGTAATTTACAATACGTAATTTTTTTCTATACATTTACCGTAGAACTTATATTTAACTGTATAAAATATTTATCAAATTTTACATTAAAAATACTTCCTGTTTAATGTTTGGGTTGATGTTGGGTAACATAAAACAAAAGGAAGGGTGGGTGTCGTATTACAAACCGTGAATCAAAAACCCTGTTACCCATTTGATTTGAGTGGATCGCGAATTTGACAATTGTGGCTTTTATCAAGACCATAACTCTCAGTCTGTTAACCATAAAGTACGTGCCAATTGCTTCAGAGCGGACATTTAAGATCCCATGCTGTAATTCTAAACGAGTAGTTGTGTGCTGTATTGGTCCAAATTGCTATACTTGAAAAATTACACTGCAAATTTACTCCATTGGGATTACACACACAGCAACATAGCAATAGGTTGTGAACGTTTGGCAGGACACTCCTGAAAAAAGTATTGACTCATTGAGGCTTTCCTGTGTAAACAAGCATCATGAAAATGTCACCTTTAGGTATTTGACCTTCCTGCTTGGCCTGACGGTCCGCTGCTTGTGTTATCCTTCTGTAGGTGTACCAGTGGCTGATGCTGAAGGCTGAGGGACCAGCCAGGCAGATGGATTCAAGAAAGTGCCTGATGCGTCCTACTTTTAACCCATTTCCTACATATTTGTAAAATCAAGCGTATTGGCAAAGTTACTCTCTTCATGGTGTGCAGAAAATGAATCGAAAACATCTAATATCCTCCTGGCCAGGACATCAGTTTGTCTGGGAGCAGCACGCCCAGCTCTTAGGTTTTTGAGCACAAATCAAGTTTATTATTCCCGTGCAGTGATAATCATGGCAAGCGTAGCTTGGATCTCGGTGAGTGTATTTGGGGTAATCTTTAAACGGTTAATGAAATGCCATCACTCTCGGACTGATGCGCTGGGGGTCGGTGTTTGCTGTCTGCTCGTTCTTGACGTCTGTGCACGTAGTGAGTAGCGTGGTGATGCATCAACAGCGCTCGGGTACATGTACAGTAGGCCATAGTGGTGTCGCAACACGCGTAGTTTTAGCATTACATATTCCACGTGCGATGAGGCAGTGTATTGTGGTGATGGTAACACAAACGGTTTTAGGAAATTCACGTTAATTTGCGGTCCATTTAACGAGTTAACGGTACCTAGTACTTGGTGCAGGAACCTACTGAAGTTGAACGTCTGTAGTAACACGATGGTAAAAATCAATTATTGAAGGAGGTTTTTAATTGCGCGCCAAGCAGTGTTTGCTTCAAAAGTTGCATGCAGTGTCGGATTGGCCTTGGTGAGGCTGGCTAATGCTCTAAGCTTCCCCATTGGTGGTTGTCAGGGTTGTATTCACTGTGTTTGTGCATGGCTTTAAATGCTTTCCCCCCCCAAATAAACTGGTTTTTAATCATCGATTTCAACCATCTTGTTGTTAATGACCACGGAAAACATTCACAGTGCGGAGTTCAGGAGAAAAGTCATTTTCACAAGTGCAGTTCTAGGTTTAATGGCAGCATTAACATTGCAAAAAATAAATCATTTCAGTCCACATACAGAATACTGGACAGCTATGCTCTGGCCCATTCCCTGTGTGTTATTAAATTCAGCGCGTGCATTTGTCATCGTGTAAGCCCTTAAAGAGCAACTTAAGTTAAAGATAAATGTTGACGTATGATTTCAACGTTTACCCACAACAACCCAGTACTGCTTTACTTACGGAGATAAACTTTAAAGACTGCCTATGGTTACAAACATTTAAGTATTTATACAAGTTGCACCACAAATTCAAAGCATCCTGTAAATCGGTCATTTTTGGGATTTTTTTGGTAAAAGCCAATGATTCATAAAAAGATTTGGGGGTTATGCAAAATTGCTGCTGTGTACAATCCCAACTGAGTCATTTTTCACTATTGGGATATTTAGTCAATACCAGTTAGATTGCGTGAAAGCTATGGGATGAAACTGGAGAACCCGGAGGAAACCCATGCAGAACAGGGGGAGAGGACATACAAGCTCCCCACGGCGCCCGAGTTGGGAATGGAACCCAGATGCGCGTCACTACTTTGCCACCACTGATGCCCAAAGATGTATATGACAAGACATCCAAAGATGTAAAGGTTTAATGTTCAGTCACTGTGGACAGATCAAATAACACAAGTAGAACTTGGAAGCAAACCAGCGTGAGATGAGAGACTAAACTGTTAAGCGTATTAATTTAATCAAGTAATTGCACTGAAACCAAACAGCAAAGTACACGTATCACCCATGCATTATTACATTGGATATGTAACAAAAAAAGTACCTACCACGCTGCAATTTAAAACCAGTCCACCTGCATGGTCGCAACGCTCGCGTGCTTGCAGCTGAATGCGATTCCTCCGTCGCTCATGGCCAGCATTTATACAGCAAGTCCTCGTTTAACACGGTAGTGGTAGATGCGTTCCTGAAAAGTGGCGCATTAAGCGAAAAACGCTTTTAAAAAACAACTTCCCCATAATAAGTTTGGCGAGATACGATGTACCACGTACAAGTGGTGAGATGGCGGTATTAACCGAGGGTGCACCACAGCGCTACTGAATCATTCCACATACTCTATCACAGCTTGGCTGCGCAGATCAAGAAAGTAGTTCATCGTCGACCGCTTACAAACTGCGTAATAACGATGAGCGCTCCGCGTTAAGGTACGCATTCCGCGTTGTGCAAGAAGTGTTCCCTAATGGAAGAACCGTGTTAGTGAAAACGCGTTGCGTGTGAATGTCGCGCGCGAAGCGAGGACTCGCCGTATGCATTAAACGGAGCAAGGTGGACATTGTCGAAGCCACACGTTCATTCGTCCATGTTTCACGGAAATTAATCTCCCAAACAGGATTAGAAAAGTACACAACCTTGAGTTTTGCGCTTAATTTTAACCAATCCCAACATCAAGAAGGTCGGCACACAAGGTGGAGCTTAACAACAAGCCTCGATGCTCGGCCGAGTTTGAAGGACAGCATTTGTCTTCAAAAACATGATGTACCCCCCCCCTCCCAACTTACATATATATGTACAACACCACTGTCATAACAATGCCTTTGCGTGCTAAAAACATACGAGGGACTCTTAAAGGAACACAAATAACAAAGGACATGACCTGTGCGAGCCTTGCGTGAAAACAACCCAAAACGCCGGAAAATAAAAACTTGCGGTTTGTACGCACGGCGGCGGCAGCGCCCAACACTACTGTGTGAGAGCAGCGCAGGCCCTGGGGATCAGGGCCACTTGATGCGCTGAATTTTTGACTTCACTTCGGGGCTCCCGACCGACTTCTCCTGCAAGAAAAAGACAGCCACGGTTGAAAGACCGCAGAAAGCTCCACGGTGTGACCCATGGCCGCGAGACCGACCGCTTGGGTCGATTGCTCCGTGAGCCCACAGCAAATGTCCCTCACTTGTCACCACCTAAGGTGGCGGAAGATTAGTGCTTCCGTTTTCTGTGGCCCAACAATGGTGAATTTATTTGATAATTAACTCATCCATATAAATAAATGGGCACGACTTATCTTATATCGATGTATATGGCACCTTAAGCCAAGGTGCTTTACAACTATAAAACAGTACACAAGATAATTTTAGTCGATAATAAAGAGTGGAGTTATTAAACGTGGTGGTGTAGTTATGCAGGAACAGAAGCAGGTGATAATGGTGATGATGGTTGCTCTATTTGCTGCTGGGGGAGTTGGTTCCAGTGAAGGGGAGCGAGAAGGGAATAGGCAAGGGAGGCGCAGAGCAGGATGGGACCCGAGGTCGTACTAATTTCTGCTCTAGCCCATGCACGATGGATGAGTGTGACCCTATCTCCCTCACCACTCGTACCCACCTCGCGTTTGGGGTCCACGCTCGGCACTCTCTTCACCTTGACCGAGCTCACGGCGTCGCCGCCAGGTGCAATTGCACCCTTAGAGAGTACGCAGCTCGGGGAGGTGGGCACTGCCCCATTCGAGGGCTCCGGGAGTCTGGGAGAGACTTGGGCCAGGCTGGGCACTGGGCTTTTGACAGCGACTTTTCCTTCTGTGGCTGGAAGATTGGTGCCTCCTCCCTCTGCCGAGACGCGCCGCACTTTAATCACCGTTTTTGTCGACGCTCCGTCGAAAACTATCAGAGGCCGCTTGCGGTTTTCATTCCAATGTTTCAATCTGGGAAGGAGAGCAGCATTTTGGTGCCGGTTATTTCACGAGTAAAAAAATGATAATCAAAGGTTCTATTTACACGAAATACAAATGAACAGTGAAAAAAAAAAACGGTTGAAATGGATCACATCGTGTACGATTCGTTTTATACCACACGTGAGAATACCAACACAGGCGTAAACATTTATAATTGAGTGCATTAGGTATTTGCGCCATTCTTATCACGAAATGTGCTATTTTTTTGGCAGTCTGCAGTAATTAGTGTAGGGTCGATTAATAATTTGCAGGGAATATTTCATCACGGGGATGTTTGGCCAATACCATTTACACTGCTGTTTTATTTATGGGAGGAAACCTATGCAGAACAGGGGGAGAACAAACAGACTCCGCGCAGAAAGAGTTGGAAATCGAACCCATTCCCTTCTCACAATATCACCTGTGATATCTACACTGCACGATTACTGAATAACTCACATTTCCATACGGGTCACGGGGCCTGCGTTCTTGCTGCAGCCCAGCGTGCCTGGGTGGCTCAGAAGTAACGCTCGTGCCTCACAACAAGAAGGGCCTTGGTTAGGTTCCCAACCGGGGTGCCTTTCTGTGTGGCCTTTGTATGTTCAACTCCTTGTTCTGCAGAGTGTATACGTGAGTGAGAGTGCGTGTAAGCGTGTGTGTGTGTGAGAGAGTTTGTATTCTCTCCTGTTCTGCATGAGTTTCCTCCAGCTGCTCCAATTTCCTCCCATAGCTAAAAAGACCACAACATCCCAATGCTCAAAATTAACTTCAGCAAACTACTCAATTGGCATAAGCACATAACAGTAGCATCACTCCCGACTGCAAAAACTTGGCAGTACCCTCCTGAAAAAATCTTCAGTGAGGCTTCCCTGGATAAACGAGCGTAGTTAGTAAAACTAAACTATAAATTAAAGAATGTTTTATTTTACCAAGCAAAGCCCACTGAGCCATGTAGCTCTTTTTCAGAAGCAACCTGGGCACAGATGATAGCCCAACGAAGTGGCTTATCATCTGGAAATTTATTGCAGCCAAATACTCTAAACGCGTGTTGTTTATTCTAAATGTGGGCAGAAAACTGCGGACCCGGAGAAAAATCCACGCGACCACGGGGGGAACAATCAAACTCAAATATACAACAAGCATCAGGGTCGGGATCGAACCCACGTTTCCTACATACCAGGCGAGGGAGTTGGCATCTAGCCACTGTGACGCCCTTAATAGTTAGTATTAGTGATACTGTAGTGTTTCAGTTTTCAGTTTCATTTATTTGGTATAGCCCTGTGAGCCATTCGGCTCTTGAATCGGGTGCAACCGCAACAAACAAAAACATGAACAAGAAACATCTTAAAACGACTGCGCGCAAACAGAAAAATCCAGGAAAAAACAGCAAAGTCTTCCAAAAAAGCACCGTACACAAACGCTGTGTGCAAACATTTTAGTGGGATGCAAGTAGTGACACTCGGGGTGTGCACACTAAACGTACCCTGCTGGTGACCCTGCTGGCGCCGTCGCGTGCGATTGAGCCGCCCGCGTGCCGCCCCTCTGGATCACTCGCTGGGCCCAGTTAGAGTCTCCTCTCAGCTCCCTCTGGGGCAGCGGCAGCACGTGGGCTCGGTACAGCGCCACCAGCTGCGCGTGGTCCATGCCGCTCAGGCTCCCAAGAGCCGCCACTCCCCTCTACAACGCACGCGGGCAGCAGCAACAACAACAACAACAACCGCCGTTCACCAAGAGTTAGACTGATGGCTTTAATCTTAGTTGTCTTGTGGTTGTTGTTATTTGACTTGCATCCCACTGGGATTTTTGCACACAGCGTTGGTGTACGGTGCTATTTCAGGAATATTTTGATATTTTTTTCCTGTATTTTCTGTTTGCACAGTCACATAATCACTTTAAGATGTTTTCTTGTTCATGTTTTTTGTTTGTTGCGGTTGCACCCGATTCAAGAGCCGAATGGCTCACAGGGCTATACCAAATAAATAAACTATGAACTAAACTATGAACTAAGTGGCGGTGACGTCACCACGGCGCTCGTGCCAGGCTAGGTGCACTTTGAGGCCACGTGTCGAAGGCTCGCTGACACGGGATGTCACGGGTCAGACCCCAGGTGCCACGGGTCAATTGAGATGACTGACAGATGCACCAGCTGTGCTGGACACAAGCGGGCAGTACCACAGTCGGGAGCAAATACAAATCCCCCCCCCTCCCCGCGTAGCCTTTACCAGACTGTTGGGGCAAGTTCTGTTCCTTTACCAGACTGTTGGGGCAAGTTCTGTTAGGGAGCACCTATGAAGGCAGGCACGAGGGGGTGGATGGCCGGCACCACATCCGGCTGCCTTTGTCTCCCTCGTGGCGATGATTACTACACACCGCACCAGGTACTCACTTGAGGTGGAGTCGACCTAACCACTGCATACGCGCAGTAGCATGGGAAACTACAGGATTGCGAGCGAGTGCCCTCCTTGAGTGTGAGAGTCTGTATCTTTCTCTCCCCCTGCTCTGCATGGATTTCCTGCGGGTTCTCCGCTTTACTCCCATAGCTACACAAAAGCAACCCCGATACAAAGCAACATCGTTCCCAATGCTGCGCCAAACTTGGCAGGACCCTCCCGAGATAATAATCTTGGCACTCGGCGAGGCAGGCTCTCCTGGGTGAACAACAACAAAACAACAACGTGAGAACGCCCATGACTCCTCTGCGCTCTCTCCCCGTCAGCAGCGGCGGCCCCGGGGTCGCTACCACCACCGCTGCTGTCGCCCGCCCCAGCTAACGCCGTGGCGCAGGCGCGCGTCTCCAAGCCCCCTGCTGCTGCTTCTGCCGCCGCTTCGTCACCTGCGCGATGGCGCTGCAGAGCCTCTCGGCGCGCTGCTGCTCTGCGGGCGGCCCGAGCAGTAGCTCGTGGAGCTGCGGCGGCGGCTGCGGCGGCGGCTGCGGCGGCTCCTCCCGAGACTCCGCGGCCTCGCCACCTCGCGCCATCTTCCCGCGCCTGCCGTCCACGTGACCCAGATTCACGACATCGAATTTTACGACAGTCGAAAATTAAAAGGCCGGCTTTACGTTAGATGAACACGCTTTGCGGAATGTATGTAATGTGTGCAATCTGTACTTAGTAGATACTTTTTTTTATTGGCTTGATTACCTTTTCTCTGTTTTGTACTGTTTGTTGATATAATTTGCTGTCCCGCCCCAACTGGACATCTGTAACACAGAGCTTCATAGGTCGTCGGATTCCTCCTCCGGTGTAAATAACAAAGATTCTGATTCTGATGTTGCGAGCTTCACGGAATCGTCTTCGGGCTTTTTGGAATTAGCGTCACGACATCCGTGTTTACGACAGTCGTAAATAATTCGACCTTTACGGTAGATAGTCGTAAACAGCCGTACAGTACTATCCTCACAACCTTTACAGCATCTACGCTTTACGACACTCACATTTACGACAATTCGTAAACACGTGGTACAGTAGCGACCGCCCTTACGGCAGACGACCTTTACGACACCGGTCTTGCGACACCCAAATGACTTTACGACACCGATGCTTTCGGACGCTGGGGCGCCGTGAAGTTGCCACCTATGGGACGATTGATCGAAACTATCCGCTTTGTTCGTATCGTGCAACAGACCTTTGACACCGATCTTCAGTGAAGTCACTCTACGTGCTTGTTTTGTTTTACGAGAAACGCCACGACACCAACTCGCAGTAGTGTTTACGACACGTGGAGGTTTGCTTTACGGCACTCGGCGCGTACCTGCACGTGGTGGTGCTGGGGCGCGTGGGGAGCAAGTGAGAGACGTGTGTGTGTGTGTGGGGGGGGCACGTGGTTGTGGGGGGCACGTGTGTGTGGGGAGCAAGTGAGAGACGTCTGTGTGTGGGGGGGGGGCACGTGTGTGTGTGGGGCACGTGGGGGGGGGGGGGCACGTGTGTGTGTGGGGCACGTGTGTGTGTGGAGCAAGTGAGAGACGTGTGGGGGGGGCACGTGTGTGTGGGGGGCACGTGTGTGTGGGGGGCACGTGTGTGGGGGGGGCACGTGTGTGTGGGGGGCACGTGTGTGTGGGGGGGGGCACGTGTGTGTGTGGGGCACGTGTGTGTGGGGAGCAAGTGAGAGACGTCTGTGTGTGGGGGGGGGGGCACGTGTGTGTGGGGGGCACGTGTGTGTGTGGGGGGGGCACGTGTGTGTGGGGGGCACGTGTGTGTGGGGAGCAAGTGGGAGACGTCTGTGTGTGGGGGGGGGCACGTGTGTGTGGGGGGCACGTGTGTGTGTGGGGGGCACGTGAGAGACGTCTGTGTGTGTGGGGGGCACGTGAGAGACGTGTGTGGGGGGGGCAAGTGAGAGACGTCTGTGTGTGTGTGTGGGGGGCACGTGTGTGTGGGGGGCACGTATGTGTGGGGGGGGGGGCACGTGTGTGTGTGGTGGGCACGTGAGTGTGTGGTGGGCACGTGAGAGACTGTGTGTGGGGAGAAAGTGAGAGACGTGTGTGGGGGGGGCACGTGAGAGACGTTTGTGTGTGTGGGTGGCAAGTGAGAGACGTGTGTGTGTGGGGGGGCACGTGTGTGTGTGGGGGGCATGTGAGAGACGTGTGTGTGTGTGGGGAGCAAGTGAGAGACGTGTGTGTGTGTGTGGGGAGCAAGTGAGAGACGTGTGTGTGTGGGGGGGGGGGGCGCGTGAGAGACGTGTGTGTGTGGGAGGGGGCGCGTGAGAGACGTGTGGGGGGGGTCACGTGAGAGACGTGTGTGTGTGGCGGGGGGCACGTGTGTGTGGGGGGGCACGTGTGTGTGTGGTGGGCACGTGAGAGACTGTGTGTGGGGAGAAAGTGAGAGACGTGTGTGGGGGGGGCACGTGAGAGACGTCTGTGTGTGTGGGGGGCAAGTGAGAGACGTTTGTGTGTGTATGGGGGGGCACGTGTGTGTGTGGGGGGACACGTGTGTGTGTGGGGGGCACGTGAGAGACGTGTGTGGGGGGCACGTGAGAGATTGTGTGTGTGTGTGTGTGGGGAGCAAGTGAGAGACGTATGTGTGGGGGGCACGTGAGAGACGTGTGTGTGTGTAGGGGGCACGTGAGAGACGTCTGTGTGTGGGGGGCACGTGAGAGACGTGTGTGTGGGGGGCACATGAGAGACGTGTGTGTGGGGGGCACGTGAGAGACGTGTGTGTGTGGCGGGGGGCACGTGTGTGTGGGGGGGGGCACGTGTGTGTGTGGTGGGCACGTGAGAGACTGTGTGTGGGGAGAAAGTGAGAGACGTGTGTGGGGGGGGCACGTGAGAGACGTCTGTGTGTGTGTGGGGCAAGTGAGAGACGTTTGTGTGTGTATGGGGGGGCACGTGTGTGTGTGGGGGGACACGTGTGTGTGTGTGTGGGGGGCACGTGAGAGACGTGTGTGGGGGGCACGTGAGAGATTGTGTGTGTGTGGGGAGCAAGTGAGGGACTATGTGTGGGGGGCACGTGAGAGACGTGTGTGTGTGTGGGGGGCACGTGAGAGACGTGTGTGCGGTGTGCGCGCGCGCCAGAGACACCATGGGGGCCAAGCGGGGGAACGGAGACGCGGGGGAGGGGGCCAGGCCCCCCAAGGTGGCACGCGCCGACGAAAAACAAGAGGAGCATGGGGAGCAGCAGAAACAGGAGCAGCAGGAGGAGGAATTCACGGCCACGCGCTTCAAGCAGCTGCTGCAGCACCCGGACACCGCGCTGCGGGGTGAGACGCAGCACGTGGCCGAACCCCCCATATCCCTCACGCCCCCCACGCCCTCCGCAGGTCCAGCCCGTGCCCCCCACCGTTTGTAGCTGAGCCCCCCCCCCCTCCCCGCGTGCTTTGTGGAGGGTGACGTGGCCAGTGCTGTATCTGTACTGTCCCTGTGCGGTGACTGTGCCAGTTGTGTGGTTCTGCTGTCCTTGTACTGTGTGCGGTGACTGCCAGTGCTGTGGTTCTGTGTCTGTGCTGTTCCTGTGCCAGTGCTGTGGTTCTGCTGTCCTTGTACTGTGTGTGGTGACTGTGCCAGTGCTGTGGTTCTGTGTCTGTGCTGTTCCTGTGCCAGTGCTGTGGTTCTGTGTCTGTGCTGTTCCTGTGCCAGTGCTGTGGTTCTGCTGTCCTTGTACTGTGTGTGGTGACTGCCAGTGCTGTGGTTCTGTGTCTGTGCTGTTCCTGTGCCAGTGCTGTGGTTCTGCTGTCCTTGTACTGTGTGTGGTGACTGTGCCAGTGCTGTGGTTCTGTGTCTGTGCTGTTCCTGTGCCAGTGCTGTGGTTCTGTGTCTGTGCTGTTCCTGTGCCAGTGCTGTGGTTCTGCTGTCCTTGTACTGTGTGTGGTGACTGTGCCAGTGCTGTGGTTCTGTGTCTGTGCTGTTCCTGTGCCAGTGCTGTGGTTCTGTGTCTGTGCTGTTCCTGTGCCAGTGCTGTGGTTCTGCTGTCCTTGTACTGTGTGTGGTGACTGTGCCAGTGCTGTAGTTCTGTGTCTGTGCTGTTCCTGTGCCAGTGCTGTGGTTCTGTGTCTGTGCTGTTCCTGTGCCAGTGCTGTGGTTCTGCCGTCCTTGTACTGTGTGCGGTGACTGCCAGCGCTGTGGTTGTCCTCGCCCTGTACTGTGTGCGGTGACTGCCAGTGCTGTGGTTCTGCTGTCCTTGTACTGTGTGCGGTGACTGTGCCTGTGCTGTGGTTGTGCTCGCCCCGTACTCTGTCAGTGTTGTGCATGTGCTGTCTCTGTTCCAGTGCTGTGGATGTGCTGTGCCAATGTCGTGAGCGCGACTGCCCGTCCTGTCACTGCGTGGTGTTTAGCGCTGGAGACGTTCGTCTCGCTGAGCAAGCAGCTGCCCGCGGAGGGGCTGCACGACGTGGTGGAGGGCTTCGTGAAGATCTCGGGCGAGTGCGCTGAGATCTTCAAGCTGCTCGACGGGGAGCGGCTCCGTGACCGCGAGGTTGGTGGTGTTGCCATCTCATTCCCTCCCCCCCGCTTCCGTGCTGTAGCACTTTGTGTATTAAGGTTTGTCTCTAATATGGTTGTGGCCAAACCCTGGAGAAAGACCCGTCCCTGACGTGACCCAAAGTGTGGACAGACCCTGTGTTGTGATGGTACCCTGTGTTGTGGTGGTACCCTGTGTCGTGGTCGTACCCTGTGTCGTGGTCGTACCCTGTTTTGTGGTCGTACCCTTTGTGTCGTGGTCGTTCCCTGTGTTGTGATCGTACCCTGTGTTGTGGTGGTACCCTGTGTTTTGATGGTACCCTGTGTCGTGATGGTATTCTGTGTTGTGGTGGTACCCTGTGTCGTGGTCGTACCCTGTGTCGTGGTCGTACCCTGTTTTGTGGTCGTACCCTTTGTCGTGGTCGTTCTCTGTGTTGTGGTCATCCCCTGTGTTGTGATGGTACCCTTGTCGTGGTCGTTCCCTGTGTTGTGATCGTACCCTGTGTTGTGGCGGTGCCCTGTGTTGTGGTCGTCCCCTGTGTTGTGATGGTACCCTGTGCTGTGGTCAAACTATGCGTTGTCGTCGCGTTCTGTGTCATAGTCGGACCCTACGTTGTGGTGACCCTGCGTCGAGGCTGCAGCTGTGTTGTGTTCGTTTCCTGCATTTCAGTGGGACCCTGTGTTGTGGCAGAACACTTTGTTGTGTCTGGATCATGTGGTGTGACCAGGACCATGCGTTGTGGTCGTTACAGCTCTCGAAGGTGTGGGAGGCGCTGGAGGCCGTTCTGCTGCGCACGGCGGGCGACCTTGCTCGATACTGGAGCGTGGGGGCCGAGGTGGTGCGCAAGCTCCTGCAGGGCCACATGAGGCTCATGTACAGCTGCTTGTCGTCGGCTGATGCCCGGTGCGGCTGACCCCTCGCTGGCCTCACCACCGCTCACACCACATCAGCTGCCACGCTCCAGAGCAGAGACATCGGTGCCACGGTGGCTAGGAGATGTTAACTGCCTCGCCTGGTAGACAGGAGGTCGTAGGTTCGATCCCGACCCTGACGCCTGCTGTATATTTGGAGTTTTCGTGTCTCTGTCTCCCTGTGGTTGCATGGATTTTTTCCGAGTCCTCCGTTTTTTTTTACTATACATTTCCACTAGATAATCCAATTCGTTGAGCTATTATTTGTGGCCAGGTCACTTCTGAAAAAGAGCTATTTAGCTCTGTGGGCATTACCTGGTAAAATAAAAAATAGTGTAGTTTAAATAACATAGTTTAGTTTAACATAAGAACATAGCGTTTCACAGCCAATGGGAGGATTTGTAAATTATGTTTGGCTTAGGCCGTGGGATGATCGTGAAACCCTCCACCTCCCGACACAGCCGAACACATTGAGTAGTCTTGCGTACAAGCTTTTAACTGCCGAGCAGATGGAACGATGCGGTCAGCTCATGGTGCGGGTGTGAGACGGGTTGTGGCATTGCCCAGACGTGAGGATTGGCGATGGTGTAACCGATGCCTTAATCCAGTCCAGCAGTGGATAGACCATTGTTGATTATGAAACGTGCCAATCTTTTTGTATGAGAACATGTGACTGGGTTTGCTTATGTGTGGCTACTGTATGTCTCCAAATTCGACAATTACCCAATTGTAATTACGGTAGCAACCTCTACAGGCAGACTAATGCCTGATGGTGATGACTGCATTATATTGTGAGCCTCTGGTGTGGAGGGTACGTATTGTTTACGCTCTGCTGTGCGTATGTCTTTGTGTGTGTGTGTCTTTGTCTTTATATGTGTACGTGGCGTGCTGCCCCAGGTGCGTGCTCGCCGCCTTGAAACTGCTGTGTGCCGTGGTGATGCAGGGTGCTGACGCTGCACGGGATTTGTTCGGACACTTTGATTTCAGCCACAAGTCTCTCCCATACCTTGCGAGGCGACGCGACGCCAAGGTACGTGCCCGGCGCGCATTCGCCACTCTTCGCAAAGGTTTGCGGTTTGAATCCAACTACCGCCGTCAATGATCCTACGGGTCTTCTGTGTACAGATATATAGACGCTGTCTGCTGCACAGCAGACATCAAAGATGCCATGACTTCATTCAAGAGTAGGCCTCGTGTCCTGGCAGGAATTTAAGTGTTTATGCAATTTCTACTTGTGTTGTGCAGTAGAACCACTCTAATACGAGGAATGCTGTAAGGGCTATTGCTGTTTATTAAACACTGAACTCAACACTCTAACTCACACCAGAGGTAGGTGCTCTCTATCTGGGTCCCTACCCCGGACTCACTCGTCTGTCCGGAACGGGGGCTCATCCAACACCGTCTGGCGATGAGGAGAGAGAAACCCTCTCTCAGCCGATCCCTACTGAATACTCCGGACCCCACTCTCGGCTATCCTCTTAGCTCTCTTCTGTAACCGATCCTTGCCCTGGCTCCCCACAACGACCCCGCCTTCATCACGTGGTCCCCCTTAAGTACCCCTTTGGTGGCTCCTCCCCCTAGCTCGGACCCGCCTTTGTTCCCGAAGGTACCTCTTACACCACCCGTGACATGACGTGATCCTTAACTGTCAACTCGCTTAGACCTCCCTCTGTTCGCCCCAATCATCGTTGCTCACACTACTCCTCTACATCACCAACCCCCATAAAAAAATGCAGCCGTCCCTGCTACTTACTATACTGGCCCCATCCCTTATCGGGGTCAACTGCAAACAGCCAGAAACATCAACAAGAACATTTGTAACAATAACATAACAATATCAACAATAACGATATCAATGCAGGAGAGGAGGCAGGGCCATTTGCGGGGGAATAACCAGGGTGTTTAAGGCAGAACGGAGAGTGTAAGGAAGGCCTCCATCTCTCATTCCGAGGTGCCGACCACATCGTCGGCGACAACGGATGTCTGACGATAACGGGCCCAGAAGGAGGTGCGCAATGGAACAGAGCGCTTTTGGACCGTGTATGTGCCGCCGGTTCGCTCTCACGGGCAGCATCCAGTTTGTGAGCAGGCAGTGCATCCGCTGATGTCTGTTCCACCCCTGACGGGGAAGCAGGCCGCTCCTCGAGAACTACTTGGATAGGTTCTGTGGGTGGACAAACAGAGAGCTTATGCTGCCCCGCATCCCGGCCAGGACGGCCAGGCTCATCAGACGCATCAGGCACCGGCCGCTCCGGAACTGGGGATGAATCTACAGGACAGGGCAACATATATCTTTTCATCCTAGATGGATGAACAATCCAGTGACCGGCGACCGAATCGGATGCGCACGCACTGTGGCCGGCGGACCTCCACGACCTCAACGAGACCCTGCCAAGGGCGATGTAATTTCGGGGACATCCCAATGGGCACTTGGGGGCAATGTAGCCACGCTTTGTCCCCCTTCTTTCATGGAAGCCTGGAACCCTGGTGTTTCTGCAAGCGCTCGTTAGCCGCTTGTCGGTTGGCTGAATTGTCCACCGCAGCTTCCCGTGCTTCATGCAATCTATCGAGCGTGACCTTCATCGAAGCTGGCACAGCAGATCCCTTTTTAGGTGAGCCCAGGCCCATTTGCACGTGCATCGGGGGTTCGGACTTCCTCCCGTACATCAAATGAAAGGGCGATAAACCTGTTGAGGCATGAGGAGCCAACCTATATGCAGCGAGAACGCCCGGAAGAAACAGGTCCCAGTCCGACTGGGTCGTGTTCACTTGGTGGCACAGCATGGACGTGAGGGTACGATTTAAACGCTCCACCATCCCATCGGTTTGAGGGTCGTAGGGCGAGGTACGGATTTGCTTTGTACCGAGGAGGTCACAGATCTTGAGCAATCGAGAAGAAAAATTCCGACCCTGGTCGGTCAGAAGCTGCTCAGGTGCACCCTTATCTAAAACGTAGCCGTGCAAAAAGGCACAAGTGATGGATGAGGCCGACTGATCTTGTAAGGGCCATGCCATGGGCCAGTTTGTGAGGTACTCAACCCCGACCAACAGAAACTTGTGGCCTCGCTGAGAAGTTGGGAATGGGCCTAAAATGTCAAGGGCCACAAGTTCGTTGACGCGAGAAACCTGTATGGACTGCAGTGGGGGCCGATCACGTACAGCCGGAGGCTTCCGACGCGCACAATCCTTGCAGCCTTTAACAAATAGCGCCACATCGCTTGCCATGCCCGGCCAGTAGTAGTCCCGCTTAACGGTCAACAAGATTTTGTGGGTCAATGGTGCATCAATTTGTCGTGAATTACACGAGTCAGTTTCCCCTGAAGGACTGTTGGGCACCACAATACTGTACCTCTCTAGCTCCGCATCCCAACGCATATGGAGACCGTCATGCAGGGCAATGGCCGGGTTGGTGGTCGGAGTAGAGGAATGGTTTCCAGATTTAACCCTCAATCTATAGGCGAGACCATTCATCGCGAGGGAGACCTAGGCCACAATCCGTGGGCAGCGGCGCACCTCGAAGAGGAGCCGCGTCGGCCGTCGCCACCAACTGGGGTACAGAGTCAACCGGAGCTCTGCAACGACTCGAGCCAATCGTGCTTGCGCACCCACTGTCCGGTGGCAACCTAGATAAAGCTTCCGCATTTCCGTGCTGTGTCCCCTTCCTGTGAATGACGTCGAACGCATACTCCTGCAGCACCTCCAGCCAGCGGAACAGCCGACCCGAAGGCTGGTCTATGCGCAAGGAGTATTGTATTGCGGCATGATCCGGCCGAACAGTGAACCGCCTGCCATACAAGTAGGGCCTGTACAGTTGCACAAAGTACACAATGGCCAGCAGCTCCCTATGGGTCACGCAATAGCGTTGCTCTGCAGAGGACAACACCCGACTGCCATATACTACAACCCTTTCGGCGCCGTCAATCACCTGTGTGAGCACACCCCCTATGCCTGTGTCACTGGCATTCGTGTCTAACACGAAGGGCAGCGAGAAATCGGGGTAACCCAGGGGGGGCGCATCTGCCAGGGAATCCCAGAGCGCGACGAACGCTTCCTCCTCCTTTTTGGCCATTTGCGGACAGCGCGTGGAGTGGCTTTGCAATAGTGGCAAAATTCCGTACAAAGTGACGGTAATATGATGCGAAGCCTCCAAAATTACGCACCTCTGTGACAGATGTGGGGGTCGGCCACATACGGACACAAGCCGTTTTATCAGGGTCTGTAGCGACTCCTGATGCGCTGACCACATGTCCCAAATGGCTCTTTTGAGGTTTGAATTTAAGGTTAGCAGCACGCACTTTGACAAAAAACGATTCTAGCCGCTGCAAATGTTCATCAAATATGCGGCTGAAAACGATAACGTTGTTCAGATATATGAGACAGGAGTCCCACTGTAGTCCTGCCAAAACCATTTCCATGAGGCGTTGGAAAGTGGCCAGGGCCGAGTGGAGGCCCATAGGAAGCCGATTGAATTGGAACAGCCCCTGGGATGTGCGTAACGCAGTTTTTGATTTGGAGTCCTCATCCAATGGCAACTGCCAGAAGACCGAAAGCAAATCTCGAGTCGAAAAGAACCCCGCTCCCGAGAGGGCGTCAAGAGAATCGTCCATGCGGGGAAGCAGGTAGGCATCTGCCATCGAAAGTTTATTTAATTTACGGAAATTAACGCAAAATCGGAGACCCCCATCCCATTTCCTGACCAACACTATAGGGGCTCCCCAAGGTCTATTAGAGGGAAAGATGATGTCCGCCGCCAATATCTCACCAACCGCGACGCGGACATGATCTTTCTCTCTGGGGCTAAGGCGATGGGAGTTCAACCGAATAGGGGGGGAATTTCCCGTGTCAATGTGTAGGGACGTACGTCCGATATCGAATTTACTATGGCTAAAAACATCGCCAAATCGTTCCAATAAGTGCCCGAAGCCGTTGTCGCTCTTCAATGGATAAGAGCAAATTTTCCTGGCAAAGCCTGTCGATCCAGGAGTCGTCCAAATTGTCCCCCTCAAAAACGCCAGCTACCAACCGATCAGCTGGCGTGGCGTCTACTGCTGACTGAGCAGGGGTCGCGTGCGCCAAAATGGTACCGGCCTGTATAACTACGCGTGAAGGAGCTGCGTTCAAAACCTGCAATAAGGGTTCCTGCTCCTTCGACACGACTGTCAGGGCACCCACCACGGAGGAAGTCCGTGAAGGCGGCGAGCCGATCCTCTTCATGTGACGTGCTGACCGCGACTTGACCCAGTGGGCCACTGGCGTAGCCCAAGGTGAGCCTGGATGCCTTGAGCAACCTTTAAGGAGGAAATGTCCACCTCCTCCACAATGGGACAACACAAAACCAAGCTCCAGAGCCAGCGAGAGCAGCCGCTCCAACGCCAGGGAGTCGAGTGCTGCCTCGTCCATCTGGGGGTAGGCCGTCCGTCCCAACGCCAACAAGGCGCTGCGGAAGGCGAGAGGCGTCTCGGCCTCCCCTCGCCTCCGCAGCAGGAACCTCTGGCGAGCGTTGGAGGGCGGCTCGAGAATTGCCGCCATGCGAGCGCACGCCAGGGGAGGCGTCGCCCGATCTACTGCCGGAATGGAGATGAAGGCGGCCAAGGAGTTGTCGTCCAACATTGTCGGAAGCGCCTTGAGCGCCTCCTCCATAGGCCATCCCACCGAGGTGTAGGCCGCTTCAAAGCGGCCCAGTCACCCCCGGCAGCAGTAAAAGGTCAAACGGGCGGCAGGCAGCGCAGCTTAAGCGGCCCCGAGGTGAAGTCCGCCGCGTGCGCTGCACAAACAGCATTCGGCAGCATCGCTGGGGGAGAGGCAATGGCGCCCGGTTGCTGCATCGCACGTAAAATGGCGCCTGGTAACTGCGTCACACTCGAGGGCAAAATGGCGCCCGATTGCTGCGTGGCGCCCGGTTGCTGCGTCGCACCCGTTGAAAATTTTCCGCCAACTTCAAACGTGGCGGGTGAAGAAGTGGCGGGAAGCGCCCGTTCCCGCTCCAACACCACGATGGGCGCGCGCGGCTGGGCTCCTGCCTCCGAAATGAGGGAGACGAGGCGCGCGGCGGACTGCAGCAGTTGGCCGAGCTGGCTGGTGAAGAGCTGCCAGTTCTCCGGCAATGGTGAGTGGCCGGGTGCGGCACCCTCCTGCAGATGGTCGGCGGGGCGCATTTCCGGGGCCCCGGACTCCGGGGACGTCGTAGGAACTTCCTTCATGCTGTCTTCGTCCTCCGACTGCACAATGGGTAGGTTTTTTCGCTTCGTAGCCGACTTGGACATGGCGATGAAGTTTTGCGGCCACTTATGACTCCAGTAGAACCACGTGGATATGAGGAATGCTGTAAGGGCTGTTGCTGTTTATTAAACACTTTTGAACTCAACAATCTAACTCACACCAGAGGTAGGTGCTCTCTATCTGGGTCCTTACCCTGGACTCTGAACAGTACCTGGTCCTGCCTTTGGCTATCCTTTAGGACTCTCTCACTCGTCTGTCCGGAACGGGGGCTCATCCATCACCGTCTGGCGACGAGCAGAGAGAAACCCTCTCTCAGCCGATCCCTCCTGAATACTCCGGACCCCACTCTCGGCTATCCCCTTAGCTCTCTTCTTGCAGCTGATCCTTGCCCTGGCTCCCCACAACGACTTTGCCTTTGTCACGGGGTCCCCCTTAAGTACCCCTTTGGCAGCTCATCCCCCTAGCTCGGACCCGCCTTTGTTTCCGAAGTTACCTCTTACACGTGATCCTTAACTGTGAACTCGCTCACACATCCCTCTGTTCGCCCCCTCATGGTTGCTCACACTACTCCTCTACACTTGTATGCTTTATTTTCATTACTTATTTTTTTGTGATTTGCTTACCTTTACTCCAATGTTGCAATTCTATCGTTTTTTGTTTTGTTGTAAACCAAACTAAAAATATTAAATTTTACCAGGTAAGGCCCACTTAGCTATATAGTTATATTTTTAGAAGCGACCTGGCCACAAATTATAATCCAATGAAGTGGCTTATAGTATGGAAATGTATTAGCAGCCAAATGCTATAAACTTGCTCACCCGTCCTGACTGGACATCTGATAAAGAGCTTCATCATATCTCGTCGGATTCCTCCTCCAGGATAAATCAAGATTTTGATTATTCTGATGGTTAAACATTTAGAAAAATCGCACCACAAATAACTCCATGGGAATGTAACACAGCAACACCACCCTCAACTGCAAAAACCTGGCAAGACCTTCCTGAAACAATAAAAAACAAGCCTTGAGACTCATTGAGGCTTTTCTGAGTAAACCAACGTAGCAATGAATAATTAAGTTCACGACTCCTGTTTGTGCATGCGTGGTCCCCAGCGCAAAGAAGACATCCGCATGGCGTACGTGCGTTTCACCCTCTCGTTTCTCATCAGCGGCGATGCCAACACCGTCCGCCAAGTCCTGGAGCTTAAAGGTGAGCCTGGCCTGCGTTATGCTGGCGCGCATCTGAAAAAGTGCGCAGCTGCACGAAATGAAAATCCAAAGAGCCGAGGAGCTCGCGAGCAACCTGAGTCACGTGCCGAGCACTCTGAGGGAACTTTGGAGGAGGGGTGAGATGTTAACTGCCTCACTTAGAATACAGGAGGTCGTGGGTTCGATACCGAAGCTGACGCTTGTATATATTTGGAGTTTGCATGTCTCTCTCCCCGTGGTCAAGTGGGTTTTTCTTCGGGTCCTCCGGTTTTCTCTCCACATTTAGAATCAACATGCTTTCAGATCGTTTGGCTGCTCTAAGTTTCCACATGATAAGCCACTTCGTTGAGCTATCATGTGTGGCCAGGTCGCTTTTGTATGATAACTACATAGCTCAGTGTGCCTTACCTGGTAAAATAATCAATTAGTTTAACTTGCCGAGCTGTTCAACTTTGGGGAATCTCAACGAACCCTGGCCTGCTCATGAATAAATGTCACTGAGGCATCTGCCTGTAGCTACAGTGAGTCCTCGCTTAACACGGGGGATTCGCGTTCCTGAGAATTTCCACATGAAGTGAATTTGCGTTAAGCTCGAGTGATTTTTCCTGTAAGGAATAATGGTGAAGGTCGGGATACGCTTTCAGTCCATAGTTATATATTTTTCTCTTGACAGTGCTCTGTTTAACAAGTTTATTTTTAGATGTGTTGTGTTTATAGAATATTTCTATAAATATACTATGTGTGACAGCCATTTATTAAAATGTAAAGTGAGAGAGAGAGGTGCTATAGTGCCAGTGCTACAGAGCAAGTACTATAGTGCCAGTACTATAGTACTATAGTGCCAGTACTCCAGTACTATAGTACTGCAGTTCCAGTACGACAGTGCCAGTACTATGGTACCTGTACTACAGTACCTGTGCTACGGTACTATTACTACAGTGCTACAGTGCCAGTACTATAGTACTGCAGTGCCAGTACGACAGTGCCAGTACTATGGTACCTGTACTACAGTACCTGTGCTACGGTACTATTACTACAGTGCTACAGTGCCAGTACTATAGTACTGCAGTGCCAGTACTACAGTACGACAGTGCCAGTACTATAGTACTGCAGTACCACTACTCCAGTGCCAGAACTACAGTACCACAGTAGCAGTATTACCATACCAGTACTACAGTAATACAAGTTACTCAAATGAGATGACATATAGCAGCAGCAACATCGCCCCGCTCTTCGAAAACTTAAGTCTGGTAAAGAGTTTTGCTGGGTGTAAACGAGTTGAATAATCACATTTAATTTGCATTCTTGCTTATTTCAGCTGATCTCTATGATTATCCAGCACAGTAAGTCCTCGTTTAACACGGGAGTAGATACGTTTCTCAAAAGTGCCGTGTTAAGTGAAAACAATTTCCCCATAATTGGTATAACGATAAAGTTTGGCGAGACACGATGTACTATGACGCACACCACGCTGTGAGATGGCGGGACAAATGACTGAGGGTACGCCGCCGTGTTACTGTATCAATCTGCGTATCACTGTACCGCTCAGCCGTACAGCTCAAGAAAGTATTTCGTCTTCGATCACTCAGAAAACGCGTTATAACAGTGCTGATTCTGCGTAATAACGGTGCGTGTTCCACATTGTAATGGGCGCGTTCCGCGTTGTATACAAGTGTTCCCTAATGTAAGAACCGCATTATAGCGAAACGCGTTATAGTGTCAACAAGGATTTTCCGTGCTGCATGCCTGCGTGTGACTGTCTGACCTCTGCGTGTGGGTCTGTCACGGTGTCTGTGTAGGCAGGCAGTTTAAGCTCCGTATTTTTGTTTCAGATTTCCTGATTGATGTGTTCCGCGCCGGGCTAAAGGAGGACCGAGTGTCCACCGTGAACCTCCTTCTGTGCACGCTGAGACAGAAGGTGACCCAGCACGCTCTCCCTCTCTAACGTACACCGGGTGTAGTTTCTGCATGGTGTGCGAGTGTTTAAGGTAAACGCGGGTGTAGTCTCTGCGTGGTGTGGGAGTGTTTCGTGTACACGCGGGTGTAGTCTCTGCACGGTGTGGGAGTGTTTCGTGTACGTGTAGTCTCTGCTGTCCACGTGGTGTGCGAGTGTTTCGTGTGCACGTGGGTGTCGTCTCTCCTCTCCGCGCGTCATGAATGCTCCGTGTCCTCAGGTCGTTGAAAACCCGGGCGTGAGCAAGACTCAGAAAGTGAGGTTCTTCACGGCAGCCATCCTCAACCAGATCGCCGGCGTGTTCAAGTGGGACGGCGTGGATGACGTGAGCGACGAGGTGAGAGACTCCGCGGCGTGTCGTCTTCGTCCAGCGAGGCGATGCCAGCCCCTTGCAACGAGAGCAGGTTCACAATCCAACACGTTGAGTGTATGTGTGCGCCAGCCATTCTCGTGGCGCAAGGTTGTGGCAATGGAAGCTGCTGGTGTGTTTCACAGACAAGGCCTGCAGTACAGCAAGTCCCCTGCTTAACGCGGGGGGTTGCGTACCTGAGAATTGCCGCGTGAAGTAATTTTGCGTTAAGTGGGGGGGGGGAGAGTGATTTTTCCTGTCAGAAATAATGGTGAGGGTGACGTTTCAGCTCGTAGTTTTATTATTGTTTTAATTTGACAGTAAACAGTTTTACAGGTTTTTTTTATAAATGTGTTGTATTTACATAGTTTTTCTATAGATACGCTATGTGTGACAGCCATTTATTTAAATGTAAAGTGAGAGAGAAAGAGATTGCGAGTTCAGGAGATGAGGGAGTGAGATGATGCTACGCACACACAAAGATGATGCCGGAACACAGACTGTACTACAGTACCGGAGCGCGTTCTGCATTATAACGACGCACGTTCGGCATTATAACAGTGCTTTCAGCATTATAACGTTGCACAGTCCGCCTTCTGCAAAATGTGTTGCCTAACGGAAGAACTGCGTTATTACGAAAACAAGTAGTGTGTACACCGCGCGTTAAGCGAGGACTTGGCGAGCGTACTTGGCGCTGTGCTTGTGCTCAAGACGACGGATGGGAGCGAGGCGGGGAGGGCGCTAGTGTGCGACTTGGCCTACGACTTCTTGCTGCATCTCTGCTGCTCGGTCAAGACCGGAATCGCCTTTCGGGACCCCAGCCTGGGGACCTCCTCCAGGTGAGGAGGAGGAGGAGGAGAAGGGGCCGCGGGGGGGTGGATTTATGCACACCTTATCGCTCACAAAAGTGAAACTATTATTCGTGGCATTGGTTTAATATTCAAGCAAACTCTGGACCAGTTTTGACATTCATTATCTCATCAGACAGGCACGCTCACGTCCTGTTTTGAGAATACAGGAACTCCTCTGTTAGAAACGCCACCTATTTTATATTTTTTTCCATTTAAGACCACACAGTGTTGATGCACGAATATACGTTGAGTTTTTTTGTGGTTGTGCACCACTAACAACGTGGTTTCTATCAAAGGATCCATCACAGGGTCATGTGCGTTCTCCAGCATTGCCGTGCGTAGCATCGCGTGACTCCCCGCGTGCTTCTTCCATTCTCCCATCAGGAGCGGCAACCTGACGCTGCTGCAGTTGCTGCTGGACCTCCGCTCCTCGGTGTGCGAGGAGCCCTGGGCGGGACGCCTCGCCGTGGAGCTGCTACGGGCCTGCCCCGACCTGCTAGGCCGCTACCTCCAGCAGACCGACATCAGCTTCGTGCCGCGCGCGCGCTCTGCCTGGCTGCGCAACGTGCGCTTCCTGCGGCAGGTGATGGCGCCGCTCACCCCCCGCTCCCCTGACGCCATGTGTGACGTCGTATGTGACGCCGTGTGACATCGTGTGATGGCGCGTGTGATGGCATGCGTCGCTACGTCGGAATGAAATCGATTATCTACGTTCTCTTTGCGGGCGATCGTGCAGTTTGAGTGCAAAGTGAGTGTTCTGTGTGTATTTTGGGTAATGACTGTTGTGTGCGTGTGTTTCACGTTATAACAGCGTGCCTTTAGCGTTATAACAGGCACATTTTGCATTATAACGGCACGAGTTCCCTGTTTTAACTGCCTTGTACCGAGTTATAATGGTGCACCTTCCGCTTTCTGCAAAAAGTGTACCCTAATGGTAGCACTGAATTATTGTGAAAAGACGTTATAGTGTGAACACCACACGTTAAGCGAGGACTTTCTGTACACCACTGAATAGACAGAGGCACTCCGAGGATCGAACCAGCGACCTCTGGGGGGTTGCGAGTCTGGCGTCCAACCATTCCACCCACTGCATTGGCCGCCTTCACATCTTTGTTATAATGGTCATGTCCGTCGCCAGCATTTGCGCAGCAAATCTGTTGACTGCGGAAACTAGGCGACCGGGTATCCCGATAACTATTAACTGTTTTTCTAGATAAAGTCTACTGAGCTACGTAGCTATTTTTCAGAAGCGACTTGGCCACAAATGAAAGTTCAACAAAGTGTCTTATCACATGGAAATGTATAGCAGCAGCAAAATACTCTAAAACGCATGTTTCTCAATATGGAGGGGAAAACGGGAGGACCCAGAGAGACATGTAAACTCCAAAATATTCAGGTGTCAGGATCGGGTTCGAAGCCACGACTTCCTGCATGCCAGGCAAGGGAGTTAACATCTCGCCACTGCAGCGCCCAACGGAGGTCAATAGCCTCCGTGTACATTGTGTCGATCCCCACTGAGCGGCATGTCATATAGCGTGCTAACCGGCGCATCCATCCCCCCCCCTCCTTTCAGGTGTACGAGGCCCAGCCGCTTGTCTCACCGCTGTTCGACTTGCCGGAGCGCTTGGCCCTGCCTCGTGCTGTCGCCGTGGTCATGGTGACGACCACCCCCCCGGTGGCCACCCGGGCGATGCTCACGCAGGGCCTCAACGTGAGCCTCGCATGGTTGCATGTTTGCGTGACAGCGTCCACCGCTTACTTTGGGCTGCGACGTTTATTGGCCGCGATTAAACGCTCGCAACAGAACGGTTAAAGTGAGATTCTGGCTGTAGATGGCAGTCAGGCCTAGATTTAGGCACAAGATAAGTTAGCTACAGCTTAGGGCTTCACATTATGAGAGGCCTTTAATCCGCCGAAAAATGTTATTCAGAAGTTTTAAGTTTTGCTTAGTTGAAAAATAAAATGTTTATATTCATTCCGATATGAGAAAATATACAGAAATTCCTCGATGGGGCCTCCTAACCCTTTCCCATTCCGAGACATCTGCAAGTTGCAGGGTGGGGTCCCGTTCACCTCTGAATCTTGGAATACGCAAGCGGCTCAGTGTAAATTTTATTTAGAGAGGCCAAGCGCCATTGTTTTTAAAGACACAGTACTTGCCCCAGAGAACCATAGCGAAACGACTGCACTCGATGACGGTTGACGCCAAACTGCCTGCCGAATTGCCTTGTGAGAGCCTCAGTACCGATAAAGTTATTTTATTTTTAGTTTTTCTTCTAGTTTTGTTTTGATGATGTACACATACAGCATTGGAATGGAATCGGAAGAAAAACTGCGGTTGGGGTAGTGATAGTGTTTGGGGTGGTGATAGGGGTAGTGATAGGGGTTGGGGTAGGCCTGGTCGTAGCTGGGGAGCAAGGAGTAGCAGGATGATGATGATGGGCTAGGGCAGAAGAGATGGGTTTTAGAGTCTTGGCACTGGGTGAGGCTTTCCTGGGTAAACCAGCGTAGTCGTAATAGTAGTGACAATAATAATAATAAAACCCATTGATCACAGCGGCAACAGCTGGGATGCATCTGTGACTCTCGCGCCCTGACCCGTCCGTTGGCGGCCATGCGCCCGATCATGGTGTCCCCACGCCCTGTGCCCTGCAGGTCCCGCACAGCGTGGTGAGGCACACCACCCTCTCGCTCATCTCGCTCATGCTGACGCGGATGCTCGGCAGCATGGAGCGCTGCGGTGCTGGTGGCGTTGGTGACGCATGTGATGCCGGCGGTGGCACTGCCGGTGGGGGAGGTGGCCCCTACTCTCCGCGGGAGCTGCAGGAGCTGCGCACTGCGATGTCCGAGGCCATCGGCAAGGTGCGCTCCACGTGGTTGGAATGCGACGAGCCTCGTAAATTTTTCACCGGTGTGGCATCTCTGAGATGCCAAGCGCCATCCGCTTCGCCGAGGGGCATTAAGCAAAACTCCCTGCAAGTCGTTGCTGCTGAGCGGAAGATCGTGAGCATTTATCCCTCTGGTGGTGTCGTCCCTGCCAAAGGCACGTGGATTTTTTTTACACTTTGTTCTGGATTAGCAATGGAGATGCACTTCCTCATCTGAGCCGGGAGATCTCACTCAGCAGTCATTTTGTGATGGTTTGTGGATCACTCCATATTCACTCTGTGTGTTGTTCACTCTGTGTGTTGTTTTACTCTTTGTGTTGTTTACTCTGTGTTGTTTTACTCTGTTGTTTACTTTGTGTTGATTATTGCATGCATTATTTACTCTGTGTGTTGTTTTAATCTGTGTGTTTTACTCCGTATGTTGATTACTGTTTACTCCATGTGTTGTTGACTCTGTTTACCGTGTGTGTTGTTTACTCCATGTGTTGGTTACTACCTGTTGATTACTCCATGTTTTTATTTGCTCGGTGTGTTATTTACACTGTCTTTACCCTGTGAATTGTTTTCAGTTGCTTATTCTGTTTACTCTATGTTTTACTCTGTTCTTTGCTCCATGTATTGGTTATTCTGTTGTTTCATCTGTGTCGTTTACTCTTGTTTACTCTGTGTGTTGTTTACTCTGTGTTTTGTTTGTTCCAGGTGCTGCCGGATGTGACGTCCCTCATTTCTGCCTGGAATCAAATCTCTGGCCCGGCGAAGGCTTCAGAGGCTGTGCCTGCCCAGGAGCCGGCTTGTGAGAAGGACGAGGGGAAGGGTGAGAGACGGAACGCAGCACACAGGCCCCAAGGAGACGGAGCGGAGTGGCGTACAGCGCCGGCTGCTGCTGTTTTGCAAGAGGGTGGGCGTGTGTATGTGTGTGTGTGGGGAGCGGTAGTGAAGCGGTTAGCGCGCTGCTCTCCACAACCCAGCGACCTGAGTTCGATTCCCTCTCATGGTCAACACCAGTAACGTGAACCGGTCCTGGGCTTCCCCTAGGTCAACTCGGCCTCAAATTAGTGCCCGGTGCGGTGTTTAAGCATCATCACTGGGAAGACAACAAGTGGCCGGGTGTGGTGCTGACCACCCCACGCCCTCGTGTGCCATGTCGGCCTTCATTGGTGCTCGTTAACAGCACTTGCCCCGACAGTCTGTTGAAGGCTATACGGGGGATCTTTGTCTTTGGAGCGGTAGTGTAGTGGTTAGCGCACCGCTTTATGAACTCGACAACCCGAGTTCGAATCCCGCTCACAATAGCAGCGGTGAATATCTGATCTGGTCCTGAGCCTCCCACAGGCGGACTCAGCCTTAACGAGTACCCGGTGCGGTGTGCAAACGTCAGCATCGGGGAGAACAAGGCGACCTCGTGTGCCGTGCCGGCCCATTCATAGGTGCCCACCGATCATTGGCGTTCTTCCCGGCAGTCAGTAGCATCTCCGCCGTGGGGACCTCAGCTGGTCCTGCGGAAAACTCAACGTTTGTAAGTGGCGCACCGGTTGTGTGTCTGTGGTCGTTGCGGACCGGTCGCCGATCGCTCCAATTTGTCCCGCCTCTGTGGGTGTGCAGAGCTGGGAGAGGTGCAGGAGATGCTGCTGAAGGCGGAGCTGCTGCACGTGCTGCGCTTGTATCAGCAGGTGGCCCCGCACCTACTGGCGCAGAGTTCCTTTGACTTCAGCAAGCTGCTCGTCGGTGCGTGGAGCGATTTAGCGTGGCGCGTTGAGACTCAGGGGGGGGGGGGGGCGGGGGGGGGGGGGCTGTGGGGGGGGTTGCCCAAAGGGATTGTGTCGTATTATCAGTAACCACGTGAAGAAAAAAGAACAAAAACATAAAAATCCGATTAACCGGTTCACCACACGGACAGACACTTCCCGCGCAACCGGTGGGTGGCGGTGTCGCGGCACCGATGCTCGCGCCTCACGGCCAGTAGGGTCTGGGTTCATTTCATGACTAGGGCGCATTCCGTGAGGAGTTTGTGTTCTCTCTCTCCCCCTGTTCTGGGTAGGTTTCTTCCAGGGTCTCCAGTTTCCCTCCAATTGCTAAAAAACACGCACAGTGTAACAGTTATTGGCCAAGCATCCCAATGCTGAATGATTTCCTGCAAATTACTCAACTGGGATCACACATGGCAACAGCAACATTGCCCCCCTACTGTGATAAACTTGGCAGGACCCTCCTGAAAACAGTTATTGAGACTCAGTGAGGCCTATCCCTAACCCTGAGTAAACTAACATAATCACATATTGCCCAGGTCCGTTTGTGTGCATGCTACTGTCGTGTGTTTTACTTTATGTGGCTGTACGTGTGTGAGTGTGTTTCTGTGTGTGTCTTTGTCTTTGGGGCAGTAGCACAGTAGTTAGCACGCTGTGCCATCAACCCGGTGACCCGAGTTTGAATCGAGCTTCCCGCCAACACTGGTGACGATCTCTGAACCGGTCCTGGGTCTGTCTTAGGTTGACTCAGCCTCAAATTAATACCTTTATGAGATATGTAGTAAACATCGACACTCAGGAGACAAACGTGGCCATGCGTGGTACTGGCCACCCACCCCCTTGTGTGCCAGGCCGGCCTTCATACGTGCTACTCGCGAACAGCACTTGCCTGGGCAGTCTGGTAGAGGCTACACAAATGATACGTGTGTCTGTGTCTTTGCTGCAGGAGTCACAAGCGAGGGCACCCCACCTATCCTGCAGTACCGGACCCTGCAGCTGATGCTGGCTCTGCCTGTGTCTCGCTACGCGTGGTTTAAATGCCGGGTATGCACACTTACTCAGCACCGGAAGTCAATGCCCTTCAACAGAAACTTTCTGAATCGTGTCAATAATCGCAACACCGAAATGGGCAGCAAGGTCTATGTATGTTTGTATGTTGAACTTCTTTCGCACCATACGTAGCTAACTGTGCTAATCAGAGCTGGTGCTAAATGTGGTTGAAATATGCTCGTGTCAAGTTAAACAAATAATCCAATTAAAGCTCTGCATTGCTTCGCTAAATGGCGGCACGTTGGTTCGTGCGTTTACAGATGACCGATCGTTAATTGCATCGGGCATTTGTGTCTGCTCAAGCTATTCTCTCATTTTCTTTGTGTCTTTCGGTAAAGCCACGTAGATAGAAAAATCATAAAAATATCACGACGTTTCGATCGCAACACAAGCAATCGTCATCAGGTGAAAAAAATATAGCTGGAGAGCTGCTGAGGCAGGATGTTATATAGGTTTGAGATGGGTTTAGCCCAAGGGTAAGTGGGTGGGGCTAGAGATGGAATTTGCATGTAAATGTAAGATCGGAGAGCTGATATACTTCCACGACAACGCAGTTGTGGAGGTGACCATTGTATTGTGAGAGATTTGCATGTCAATGAAAGTGTAGTGAGTCCAACTGAGTCGCAGACGTTGCTCCTTTTAGAGGCAACACATTTATTTGTAACACAAGGGGTCACTGCCCCTTCACCAGATACAGCTTAGGGTGGTGACCACCCAGCTAACTACTCTATACAGAGGAGTTGCTGCTACGAAGCGTCGGGTCCCTTCTCGGGTCCGCGACCACGTGTTTGCCTCAAAGACGTAGAGCTTCCAGCTTGAGATGTAGGCTTCAGCTGGTGGACGTGGAGCTTAAGCTTGTAGAATGCAGCGACCCCGGTCCCTCTCAGGGACCCGCCTTATATCCCCCTGCGGTCGGGGCCGCTCCGCCGTTGGCCTTGCCCGCCTTCTGGAGCCTTCTAGCTCCCTCTCGATCCCTCTCGAGAGCTCTCCCTGGACACGTGATCACCACCTAGTCCCCCCACCTGGGGGCCTCTCTATGAACACTCTAGATCATGTGTCTGCGGGGTCAACCAGAGTGCCATGGCCCGGGGCAACTCTGCCCTTGGGCTGACACCCCTCCCGCTCCCCCTCGTGGGAGCCCACACCGCACGCGATGCGTGGTGCCCGCGCTATCCAACGCTCACCAAGCCCCGCTAGGGCTGGTACTACACCCGCCCACAGGGTGTATGCGATGACGGTGCATCACGTGCCATGGCCCTCTCAGGCCGGCACCATACAGTGACATCCCCGATGTCACTACGTAGGCGAACCACCGCAACGGTGGCTGTGCTAGTGAGACATCCAGCTCGTTAAAAAACGAGGGACACCGCCAACTCGAGGACAAGGTGCAATGGTGGCTGTGTTAGTGAGACATTTAGCGTGTATGCAACTCAGAGAGTCGGAAATAACTGCTAGCATCGGCAGGTAGGATGGAAACATCACAGCCAGTTATGACTTAAACTGGTTAATAACGTCCTTCCAATGATATCTCAGTTTGTACCCATCTCAGTTGAAATTGTGTCTGTGTTTCAAAGATGGGATCAGATCACGAATTTTATGTACTGTGTTGAATCGAACCTGAATCTTGGGTTTGCTCATGATGTTGGAAATATTTTGGTAACCCCTGCTGTGTATGGCAAGGTAATAGTTTTGATTGGGTCCTCAGATTATTCTTTCCCAACGGTTGGGGTAATGGTTGTGTAGTTCGAATATCCATTCATCTTGAGGGCTTGATGAGTGAATTATTCTGGGAAGGATGGTGGTGGGAGTCAGGTTTTAGGTAGGCATCTGTATGGGTGGCTTTCCTGTAGACAGAGTGTGTGTTTCGATTAACACATTCAAGAATGGTAACTTGTCAACCTTTTCCACCTCCGTGGTGAATTTAATGGCTGGGTGTATGGAATTGATGTGGTTGAAGAATTGGCCCAGCGCTGGTTGGCCATGTGGCCAGATGACGAACGTGTCATCTACGTATCTCTTACACGAGGAAGGACGTAGGGTGGATGCCTGGATGGCATCTGTCTCAATTTTTTCCATGAAAACATTGACTTCAACTGGAGATAAGGGCGAACCCATTGGGTTACCTTCAACTTGTTTGTAGAATGTTCCATTCCAGGTGAAGTAAGTGTTGGTGAGGCAGTGTCTAACCAGGGCCGGTACATCAGCATTCAGTCTTCAATGATTGCAATGGTGTCAATGATTGCAATGGTGTCAGGCACAGGAACTTTGGTAAACAAAGATACTACGTCAAAACTGACAAGCAAATCACCTTGAGATAGTGAGATGTCCTTAACTAGAGATACCAAGTGGGCTGAGTTAAGTACAGCTGAGGTGGTCTTACCAGTGAATGGTTGTATGGTCTCAGACAGAAATCGGGCCAGTTTGTAGGTGGGTAGGTCAATGGTGGAGACGATAGGCCGGAGGGGTGTACCTTCTTTATGGATTTTTGGTAAGCCATAAAATCTGGGTGGTCTAGCAGCAGAGGGTTTTAAGGAAAGCCGCTTGGTTGGTTCGTGGAGGTATATCAGCTCTCTGATTTACATGCATATTCCATCTCTAGCTCTGCCCACTTACCCTTGGGCTAAACCCATCTCAAACTTATATAACATCCTGCTTCAGCAGCTCTCTTATATAGATATTTTTTCACCTGATGACGATTGCTTGTGTTGCGATTGAAACGTCGTGATATTTTTATTAATTTTCTATCTACGTGGCTTTACCGAAAGACCCAAAGAATATGAATTCCTTTCAGTAATGAAAGCTTTAAGTCAAGATTTGATCACCTCAATGTTTTGCTTTTGTTCTCTTTGTGATGTGGGTTGTACTTACAAATGAGACTCTTTCCTCTCCTGCTCTCTTGAGTTCTCACCCCAGTTACACGCACTGAACGTGAGATGATGTCAGATGACACGTGTGCCATGTTCGTGCCTCTCTTGTTCAGGAGCTGGTGGAGGGGGCGGCGGACGGCACGCTCGACGGCTCTGACAAGTCGACCTTCTACCTCCTCCTGCGCATGTTCGTGTGCAGCGACCACCCCCAACTGCAGAGCGCTACGCAGCAGCTGCTAGTCAAGGTGTCTCCCCCATGCACAAATACAAAGATCCCCCGTATAGCCTTAACAGACTCTTGAGTCAAGTACTGTTTGAGAGCACCTATGAAAGGCTGGCATGGCACATGAGGGGGTGGTTGGCCACACCACGCCCGGCCGCCTTTGTCTCCCTGGTGGCGATGTGTGCACACTGCACCAGGTACTCAATTGAGGCCGAGTCGACCTTGGAGAGGCCCAGGGCCAGTTCAGATAATCGTCACGGGCTTTGGTGGCCACTTGCGGAAATCAAACTCGGGTCGCCGGGTTTGCAGCACTACCCCTGCACACAGCAACTGCTGGTCAAGTCATAATGGTAACAATAATTGAGCGTGCTTTCGGTGTTTGTGCCATTCTTGCAGCGTGAGGCAATCACGATCTGCGGTAGTTTCCTCGTTGTGGGAAAAGGTGCCTTGCGTAATCCCAATTTTAGTCATTTGTGACGTGAATTATTTTTTCAAACTTTATAACTTTGGGCCATGACATCGGCACGCAATTGCCCCACTGATTTCAAACGATGGCACGGGATCTTTAACGTCCACTGCGAAGCAGATGGCGCATGTTATTTTACAGTTAATATGCACTGCAGTATCAATAATAATACAGTAGATCATCGATTATATATATTTATCCGGCGGCTTCGGGGGGAAGGGAGCGCCCGATTTAAAAATAACGCCAGATAATCACACCATTATTTAAAATAGATTATTTTTGCACATTCTTGCATAACATTGTTTTTAGGTGTTGTTATATGTTTCGTCTGTATTTTAAATTTGTTTACCATATGAAATAGGCATAAATAAATATAGAAAGACAAAAATAATCATCCTGCTGTAAAACGTTACTCTGTTTACTGTACCATACTTACCACTCCAATCTCGAAGACTCTGCATGGGGTGATGTACGTACTTCGCTCTTGGTTCAACAACTTGTGTTTGACGATCACCAGACTGGTACAGCCTCTAGACTGGTGCTCCGGCGAATGCCGAATTACACATACTTTTCTCTGGATCGCACAGTATTTGCTGTTTTTATTACTGTAGTTATTAGCCTTGGAGAACGTATATACGTGCAGTATTTTCATATTTTTTTGTTTGTCGTGTATAATGTAATGTATATAATATTTGACACTGAAATTAAGCATATATACTTTTTGTCACACGCATGGTGGTGATTTCTGAACTGGTACAGCCTTTGGAGCGGTTTTTGCCAATTTCACTTGATCGGCCCAGGACCACTAGATACATTTTGGAGCTGGATAATCCTGCACCGGATAATCGATGAAGAAATGTACAGTAATTAATTTCTATATAGCATCGGTCATGTAAAACTGCATCTCTCAACGCTGTACATAGCGTGCCCAAACCAAGGTCAACTCAATTAAAGGCTGTAATAAACAAAAAGGTTTTGTAATGGGTCTTAAGTCGTGAAAGAGACTTAATTTGGTGAAAACGGAGCGGGAGTGAATTCCACTCCGTCGGAGCTGCAGATTCTAAGGAAGAGCTCCCTCCTACCATCTTGCGTTTAACTTGAGGCTGAATGAGTATTAACCAGGATGGCCTGTCGGATTTCAACCGTGAAGCTCTGCAGCGAGCAGCAAACGCACGACCGCTGGGCCGCGTCGCCGTCCCAAAGACGCCTTGTTTTCATGTGAAAGTGGAGGATGAAGGTTTAAAAGAGAGTGGCAGAATGGCTCAGTGGGTACACTCTGTGACTCACCGCCCGTGTCTCACCGCCCGTGTCTCACCGCCCGTGTCTCACCGCTCGTGTCTCACCACTCGTGTCTCACCGCCCATGTCTCACCGCTCGTGTCTCCCCGCCCGTGTCTCACCGCCCGTGTCTCACCGATCGTGACTCACCGCTCGTGACTCACCACTCGTGACTCACCACTCGTGACTCACCACTCGTGACTCACCACTAGTGATTGACCGATCTGGCCTCTGAAGACTTGACCGTGTTTATGTTCAACGTTGAGGGAAATTCCTGCCCATAAAATGCACAAAATGGGCACCTGACGCCTTGCCTCTGATTAATGTTATTTCTCGCTTTTGCATTACAGATTTTGCGAGACAGCGGAGTGTTTGATTTCACGTGGAGAGAACTCGACATATGGCTTAAAGGACTTCTGGACTTCTCAAGAGAGCAGCAGGAACCAATTCTTACTTTTCTTGAAAAGGTACGTCTACGCACGCATACACATGCCTACACACGCCTACACACATTTACACACCGCAGAGTGGCAAACGCTGCTCTACCATATGGAACTTCACACAGGCCTTGGACCTGTTGCAAAAGAGGCAATGCTGTTTTACGTTTCTTAGTGGTTTTATTTCATCTGAGCAATATTGCCTGGCTGTGTTGGTTCCTGTCACCGAATGACTTTGAGAGACCGGTTCATGCTTTTGTGTTCGCCTGACTTGATTACCGCAACGCATTACTCTTCGAGATTCCGAGTGAGGTGCTGGGTAGACTCCAGCTCGTTCAGAATGCAGCTGCTAGATTCCTTACGCGCTCAGTGTTATGTGAGCACATCACACAACTGCTCTCTTGTCTTCACACTGGCTATCTGTCCAGTATCGAGTAGACTATAAGATCCTGCTGCTGATCTACAAGGTACTCAGTAGGTTGGCCCCGCAATGTTTCCAGGACTGATCCATGTTTATATTCTAAAACGAGGTCCCTGGGATCTTCAGATCATCTTCCCCCAAGTTTTGAAACAACATTTTGCCTTTGCTATCAAGACAATCACAGTCAGTTTAACACGTAGGCTTTCACGACCAATATCATCCATAATAGAGGTTTTTGGGTGAGATCACGTAAATATATAAATGTGTCGTTAAAATCCACCACCACCCGACACAGCCAACTAGTAAGGGTTGTCACGTAAACAGAACATGCCAATTCGTCACTAGGACAGCACACCGGTGTGTTGAAGAGCCAAGCCACAGCATTTACAAACTGTGTACGACGTTTCGCCAGTAATTACAACTAGCTTCATCAGGCGACAGCCAGATTTGTGGAGAAGTCCACCTGTTTCGTTCCTTATATAGAGGAGTAGATGTGGTGACCACTCTTCTGCACTCTTGCGCAAAGTGGGGGTGGGGGAAGAATTACTGAGCCAACGTAAATTATGCATCTGCGTTATGCGAGAACTTTGAACTTGTCCTTCCTGTCTATTCTGTTGATTAAAATAGCCCAACCAACGGTAATCCCCAAATATGCTTTGTAACATTAATAAACACGCTGCGCACGTGTAGAAATTAGCACTGTCTGCACGGAGTCAGAGTCATGTTGTCAGAGTCATGTTGTCATGGAGTCACTGAGTCACAGAGTCGTGTTGTCACGGAGTCACGTCGTCACAGTGTCACTGAATCACAGAGTCACTGATTTACAGAGTCACTGATTCACAGAGTCACTGATTCACAGGGTCATGTTGTCACAGAGTGACTATGTCATGGAGTCACTGAGTCACAGAGTCGTGTTGTCTTGGAGTCGCGTTGTCACGGAGTCACGTCTTCGATAGTTCACGCCACGGCTGTTGTACGTACAGGTGGTGTGCAAGGTGTTGGCAAGCCCCTATGTCTACCTGGACAAGGTGTCGGAGTTCGTTCAAGAGGCGGCGACGCTCCGAAACCTCGACTCCCACACGCCAAATGCAGACGCATGTAAACTAAACTATAAACTGTTTTTATTTTAGCAGGTAAGGCCCACTTATCTGTGTCGCTCTTTTTCAGAAGCGACCTGGCTATCACAAATTATAGCTCAACTAAGTGGCTTATTATCATGTGGAAAGTTATGAAATCCAAATACTCTGAACACGTGATGTTGATTGTAATTGTGCAGGGAGAAACCGGCAGGACGTAAATAAAAATCCACGCAATCACGGGGAGAACATGCAAAACTCCAGATATACAGCAGGCGTCAGGGTTGCGATGGAACCCGCGACCTCCCGTATATCAGGCGAGATACGTAACATCTCGCCACCATGGCACCACTGTAACTTGTTTGCAGCAAGTTCCCGCTTAACGCGGGGGTTGCATTCCTGGGAATTGCTGCGTAAATTGAATTTGCGTGAGATGGGAGTAATTTTCCCGTAAGGAATAGCGGTGAAGGTGGGGGTGCCATTCTAACTCGTAGTTTTATTGTTGTATTTATTTGACAGTACTTTGTTTTATATGTTTATTTTTAACTGTGGTTTGTTTATAGAGTATTTCTATAAATACGCGATGTGTGACAGTCATTTCCCTTAGTATAAAGTCAGTGAGAGAGAGATGGCGACTAAACGAGATGAGTGAGTGAGATGACGCTAAGCACAAAAAAATGCTGCCAGAAGAAAAACAGTACTACAGTATCATTACACTACTACAGTACTAGTACTGCAGTGATAAAGTACCAAAGTACCATTACTACGGTGCCGGTACTACAGTACCAGTGCTACAGTGCCAGAGTGCCAGTACTACAATACTAGAGTACCAGTAATACAGTACCAGTGCTGCGGTACTACAGTTCCAGTACTACAGTTGTAGTACTACAGTACCAGCTCCCAGCATCACCGAACAACACCCACGTCACTCAGAAGAGTAGTATGTCATACGCTGGACTCGCGTTGTAGTGAGTAGGCCGTCACGCGCTAGACTCACTTTGTAGCGAGTAGTCCGTGACACGCTGGACTCGCGTTGTAGGAAGAGTCTGTCACGCGCTGCACTTACGTTATAGCAAATAGACCGTCACACTTTGTAGCGAGTAGTCCGTGACGCACTGGACTCACGTTGTAGCGAGTAGTCTGTCACGTGCTAGACTCACATTGTAGCTAGTAGTCTGTCACGCGCTCGACTCGCGTTGCAGTGAGTGGTCTGTCACATGCTAGACTCATGTTATAGTGAGTAGACCGTCACACGCTAGACTCACTTTGTAGGGAGTAGTCCGTGACGCGCTGGACTCACGTTGTAGGAATAGTCTGTCACGCGCTGCACTTACGTTATAGTGAATAGACCGTCACACTTTGTAGCGAGTAGTCCGTGACGCACTGGACTCGCGTTGTAGCGAGTAGTCTGTCACACGCTAGACTCACATTGTATCTAGTAGTCTGTCACGCGCTGGACTCGCGTTGTAGTGTGTAGACCGTCACACTCTAGACTCACTTTGTAGCGAGTAGTCTGTCAAGCTCACGTTATAGCTAGTAGTCTGTCACACGCTAGACTCACATTGTAGCTAGTAGTCTGTCACACGCTAGACTCACATTTTAGCGAGTAGACCGTCACGCGCTAGACTCACATTCTAGCTAGTAGTCTGTCACGCGCTGGACTCGCGTTGTAGTGAGTAGTCTGTCACATGCTAGACTCATGTTATAGCGAGTAGACCGTCACACGCTAGACTCACTTTTTAGCGAGTAGTCCGTCTGGCGCTGGACTCACGTTGTAGCGAGTAGTCCGTCACGTGCTAGACTCGCATTATAGCAAGTAGTCCGTCACTCATAATGATAGTGAGTAGTCCGCGTTGTATTAAGTAGTCTGTTACATGCTCGACTCAGGTAATAGCGAGTCAACCGTCACACGCTTAACTCATTTTGTAGTGAGTAGTCCATCACGCGCTGGACTCACGTTGTAGCGAGTAGTCTGTCAAGTGATAGACTCACGTTATGACGAGTAGTCCCTCACATGGTAGACTCGCGTTATAGCGAGTCGTCTGTCATTCGCTCCACAAATGTCAAAAAAACACGTGAAAGTGAAAAAGCGCAGCATGAATGCCACGCATTGAACGGGAATTTACTGTGCTATGCCTCGTGGAGCTGCTCTGATCTGAGGCTTCCCTGGGCTGAACGAGCGTCATCGTCACCACAATAACGTGAGTGAGCAATGTGCCCTCCCGCAGGCAGCGACGTTGATGCCGGCCTTCTGACAGAGCTGGGCGGCGAGGGCGTGGAACAGCCTCTCCCCCAGGACGCGATCGCCGCCAGCTTCCCTTACAGCGCCCTCGTTCCCTGCAGCCTGCAGCTGTTACTGCCGCTGCTGCCTCTGCAGAAGCGAGGTTTGCAGCTGCCTGCTCACGTTCTGCGCTGCGTCGTCGTTAAGTTAACATTTGTGACGGCGCCTATAGTTTTTCTGAGATTCTGAGCTGTGGGAAAGCATAAACAATTCCCCAAGCTCTGTGGTCCTATATCGGGAACGTTGCGCCAACTCCATTGAACAATTTTTTTTATAGCTCTTTTTCAGAAGCGACCTGGCCACAAATGATAGCTCAACGAAGTGGCTTATGTGGAAATTTATAGCAACCAAAAACACATGTGAATTCTAAATATAGGGGGAAAAACCAGAGGACTCAAAGACAAATCCATGCGACTTCAGGGAGAGACACGCAAACTCCAAATATACAGCAGGCGTCAGGGTGGGGTAGTTAACATCTCGCCACTGGGATCCGCACAAAATACGCGAAGGCCGATAGCCTCCGTTGTGCAGATTCCCACTGAGTGGCATGTCGGACAAAGACAAAGATCCCCCATATAGCCTTTTGAGAATGTTGGAGCAAGTGCTGTTGGTAAGTAGCATCTATGAAGGCTGGCACGGCACACGAGGGGGTGGGTGGCCAGCAACCACGCCCGGCCACCTTTGTCTTGCACTGCACCAGGTACTCATTTGAGGCTGAGTCGATCACGGGGAGGCCCAGGACTGGTTCAGTTACGATTATAATTGTCACTGGTGTTGACCATGAGCAGGAATTAAACTCGGGTCACCAGGTTCAAAGTGCGGCGTGCTAACTGCTTCACTCCCGCTCCCCAGCACCACACACACACACATTAATAGGAACACAGAGACAAAGATCCCCCCATATGACATTAAGTGCTGTTAGCAAGCAGTCACACACACATGCATGCCCGCCCCCCTTGCACAACAGCAGCAGCTGCAATTATGTCTGAGTTGCCCCGTGCTCGTTGGCTAGCGGTCACCCGTGTTGTGGCGCCACCGTGCACAGGTGCAGGCGCGGTGTGCAGGTACCTGGCGAGGACGCTCAAGGAGGTGCTGCATTCTCAGACGGAGCCCCTCACGCTGGTGCTCGCGCTGCAGGCGCTGCAGCGACCGCTGAGCGACGCTCGGAGCGAGGGGGACGGGCGCCTGCCGCGTGCCGCGCTGTCCACCGTGGCGGAATTCCACCGCTACTACGCGCCCTTCGTGCCGGCGAGCGTCAGGGAAGAGCTGGTATGGCCTCGCAATCGCGCATGCGCAAAAAACATCTCGCTCGCCGTTTTCCCCCATCTGTCATGTTATCGCTTTTGTCATTTTGGTGACCCGGGTCACTTTTGCAAACAGGACTCTCGCTCGCCTGGTTACACCCCATCAACTTCACACTGGAAAATATTTTTGCTAAATTTTCCACCATTTTCCCACTCCCATTTGCATAGCCTCCGCCTCTTGCTCCTCGTAAGAGTTGTAGACCTGTCACATTCCTTGAAATGCCAATTCCATATCCTGAACCACGACGCCGGCACACAATGGCCTACTCATTCCGAACGACGTCACGGGATATTTAATGTCCACTGTGAAACGGATGGCACATAGTAATTTACAGTTAATAGCGCACCACCGCAGTATTAACCAGGATAACCTTCTGGATTCCAACTGTGAAGCTCTGCAGCAATGATCAGCGATCATGCAACCGCTGGGCCCGTTGCCGTGTGCGTGTGTGTGTAGGTGTGGGGAGCATGCTGCGCTATGAACCCGGCAGCCTGAGTGCGATTTCCGCTCGCGGCCAACACCAGTGACAATTAGCTGAACAGGTTCTGGGCCTCACCTAGGTTGACTCAGCCTCAAATTAGTACCTGGTGCGATATGTAAACATCGCCACTGGGGGAGTCAAAGGTGGCCGGGCGTGGTGTTGGCCACCCACCCTCTCGTGTGCCGTGCCAACGTTCATATGTGCTACTTGCTGACAACACTTGCCCCAACGGTCTGTTTAGGCTATATTGGGGATAATAAAGGTTTTTGGGTTAGATCGCGTTTATTTATAAATGTGTCGTAACCCTCCACCAAATAAACGCGATCTAACCCAAAAACCTTTATTATGAATAATATTGGTCGCGAAAGCCTACGTGTTAAACTATATTGGGGATCTTTTTCTTTGTGCGTGCACTCTGCATTAAGCCCGGCTGTGCGTGCGCCACCCGCCCAGTTTGTCGGCGTGAAGACACGCGAGGCGGACGTACCGACGGAGGAGGAGGCCTATGGCGAGCTGCTGGAGCGCCTCTGCTGGGGACGGCACGAGCACTTGCTGCTGCCCTCCTCCCACGATGCCTTACTGCGTGCCGCCGCCCACATCCCGGCGTCGCGTCTCACTTCAGCCACCAGACACACGCTGCTGTACCTGCAGCACGTCACTCAGCGCTTCTTAGAGGTACCTGCCGTCCCGTACACACACATTCACATGCCGCACCGTAAACACACTGTCACCTGCTGTACCCATACACTCACCTGCTGTACCATAAACACACTTGCCTGCTGTACCGTAAACACACTCTCACCTGCTGTAGCGTATACACACTCTCACCTCCCATTCCGTACACACACTCTCACCTGCTGTACCCATATACTCTCACCTGCCGTACCGTACACACACTCTTACTTGCTGTACCCGTACACACACTCTCACCTGCCTTAATACTGCACCTATATGCTCTAACACTGCCGGGATCTGTTTAATATGGTTGTGTTTGTCACATGTTTGCCTTACCCCCTCTGCTGTCAGTATGACCAGGACACAGGGCCACAGGTTATCGCTGCGTACGGGCAGTTGCTGCTGGGCATTATTTCTCGGGCCGAGGTCCTGGAACGGGGTGAAGTTGAAAGAGTGGAGGAGTGCAGCGGAGGGGAGACGCAGGGAGAGGACGAGGTCCCACTGCAGTCCTCAGCCTCCAAGGCTGACAGGACCTCTGAACAGAAGAGTGAACAGGACCTGCTGGTGGAGGACGTTTTCTCCACACTGAATCTACAGAAAGATTTGGACAATTCTGAGGTGTGTTTTTTAAGGTCACGAAAGTTGCTTGTTATTTCATGAAGAAGAATCTGCTGTTGATGGAATTTGTTTGATCTTATATAGTTTTATATAGCTCCTTATTCTAAGGAGCTTTACAAAAATGATAAATGTGTTGTGTTTATCTAGTATTTCTATATTTATAAATATGTGTGACAGTCTTTTATTTAAATATAAAGTGAATGAGAGAGATGGAGAGTGAATTGGATAAGGAAGATGATGCTACACACAAAGATACCAGAACACAGACTGCACTACAGTACAACATTACTAATACTTCAGTATCAGTACTACAGTGCCGGTACTACAATTCTACCGTGCAAGTACTGAAGTACTACAGTGGCAGTACTGCAGTACTATAGCACCAGCACCCAGCATCACCGAACAATGCTGCCAATACCCCCGTTGCTCAGAAAAGCAGTCCCTCACGCGCTACATACGCATTATTGCAAGTGGTCTGTGACACACTCGACTCACGTTATAGTGAGTAAGTCTGTCACACGCTGGACTCGCGTTATAGCGAGTAGTCCATCGCGCGCTAGACTAGCATTATAGCGGGCGTAGTGTACATTTAGCGAAAAACGTTCCGTAACAGAAAAGCTGCATTGAAGTAAAATATGTAGCGTGAACGTCGCTCATTAAGCGTGGATTTACATTCACAGCATTTATTGCTTTTGTAAATCCTTTTCCAGATTTTGCGCGACGTTGTGGCCACTGTTCTCAAGCACCCCACGCTGCACGATCTCTTCGCCGTTGGCAGCGGCAGCCTCGCCCGTGGCACTGGCTCCGCGTGCCCTGCGGAGCATCTCACCAACGCGGTGGTCTCCCTCATGTGCACGCTGCTCGATACCCCAGCCGTGGGCGAGCACGTCGAGCTGTGTGTTCCCTTCCTGCGGCGCCTTGTGGCCGGGGCCGCCGCCGTCGTCTCTTCGAGCGCAGCCTCCTCCTCTGTGGCGGCGGCCGCCGTGCTCGCGAACCTCCGCCGCTTGCGCCACCTCCTGCCCACGAGCGACGTCAACAATCTCGTCGAGCTACTGCTGCGGTTGCCCGCGCACTCGCTGTTGATCGGCGGGGATGACAACAATGACGCCGACGCCGTGGGAGATCGCGCTGAACGAACGCCGGACGGAGGGCGCGATGCCACCGAAGGCCGAGGAGCGACAGGGAAGAAGGGGAAACAGCGGCGGCGGCAGTCTCTGAAAAGCGGCGGCACGGATTCCGCCGCAGTGGGACTCACTGTGTTCGGGGAGACCCTGGCGGCGCTGCTGGAGCGCCTCGGGACCGAGGACCTCTCCGTGCTGCACGCGGCACACGTGCGCCTCGTGCTGGCGCTGGCTGTGAGGTCACGGCGCAGCGAGCTGCTGGCACCCCTCGCATCCTCCCTGCTGAGCCGTGGCGGTGGCAGCGTCGCCGTGGCGGTTGCCTCGGTCCCCGTCCACACCATGGGCGGCCTTCTCACGCGGGGCTCCCTGCTGGCACAGCCAGTACGTTGCTGCTGTTGTTTTGTTGGTGTTGTCGCGCGGGTACTCGTTGTAGTTGTCACTAGTTCTGTTGAGCACAGGAAGTCCACGTTAAACGCAACAACTGGTAGATGTGTTCCTGAAAAGTGCCGCGTTAAACGAAAACGCGTGAAGCGAAAACATTTAATCATAAATTATGTACCGATAACGTTTGCCGAGATACAATGTACACACTGAAAAAAACGGAGGGTACACTTGGCGCGTTACTATATCATACTGCGTACTTGTTATAGCAAAAACGCATTATTTGAAGACCACGCTCAAAGCGAGAACTTACCGAAGTTCTCTGACGAGTTACTGATAACCGCGTGAAAAAATTATGTAAAATAAGTTGGAATGAAGGCAGCTGTTGTGATGTAAATTGTTACCACACTGGAAGAGTAGACTCAATACCCCTCTCGAAGTGTTGTGTTTGCAAGTGGCAATAAACCGCGTACCCAGAGAAATCTCATGTATGAGAGGAGATGGTTCTCAACGAACAAAATACATCAGGAATCCACTTGGTGTACTGCTATCTTCTGGACTCTTAACAACCCCGCAAGTAAAACTAAAATTCTTAAACAGTTTCCTGAGTACGAGTACCACCAGCATCGCCACGGCTGACACTAGGGAAGCCCTCTGCCTTTCCTCCACCACCGGCCCCGCGCACGGTGGATGCACCCGCAGCACTCGTTCTGCTCGTTCTGCTCGTGTTGCTCATGTCGCTCGCAGCACTTGCATCGTTGATGTCACCAGTGTCATACGTGTCGCTCACGTGACTCGCATCACACACCTCTGATGAGCATGATTGGCTACGTACGGTGCGAAAAAGATTCAATACACACACATACATACGTCGCTCGTATCACTCATGTCACTCACGTCGCTTGTGTCTCGCGTCGCCCGCCGGAAGCCGCTGCTGAGCTGAGTGTTCTGTGCATGCCGTCTGCTTGTCCGCGTGCGTCAGACCGAAGCGGTCCACCTGGCAGCGGGGCTGGTGGCACGCTCGCGCTCTCACCGAGCGGCTTTCGAGCTGTGGGCGCTGCGTGGCGGCGGTGTCGAGGCTCTGCGCCAGCACCCCGCGAGCCTCTGGGAGCTGCTGGAGGCATACCTGACCCACGTGGAGCTCGCAGACCCCTGCCGCCCCGGTGAGACGATAAATGGCGCCTGCCGCCGGATTCGCTCCCCGCGCTTCGTCTGCACTCGTGCATGTGTGCACTATGCCAGTAGGGTGCACAGGTGGAGCATCGGCGAGGAATCTCAGTCAGTCAACCCACAGCACCTGGGTCTGTCCCATGACCTGCCAACAGGCATTCGACACTTCACGTGGCCTTAAAGTGCAAATAGCCTGGCACAAGCGCCGTGGTGACGTCACGCTCCTTAGTGGCGAATGGCGGTTATTGTTGTTGCATTGGTGCACGTGTGTGACGTGGCGGCCCCTTTCGCCGACGAGTGCGGTGAAGTATGGTCGGGACCTCCTAGTTCCGTGTCAGCTGTAGGGAGTCCTTGATCAAGCAATGGATTGACGATGTGTTAATTGGCTAAAAGCATGTATACATGTATATATATGGAGGACCACAGAGCTTGGCTAATTGATAAGGCCGTTGACATGGCCGAGCAGTAGCATGATTGCTGTTCATTGGAGAGGTTCACAGTTGGAATCTAGTGACCGCCCTGATTAATTTTGCGGGTCTAGTAACTGTAGTAGCACTATGCGCCGTCTGCCTCACAATGGACATTAAAGATCCCTTGACATAAATTGCAAGAGTAGGCTATTTGTGTGCTGGTGTCACAGTCCAAATTTGATAAATTATAAAATTCCCCTGCAAATTACTCAATTGAGATTACATACAGCAGCAGCATCAGTATTCACTCCCTATTGGCAGACTAATACCTCAGGTCGCTCGTGCAAGTTACAGTTCTGGCCTTCATTCTCAGTTGACCACGAGATTCCTGTATGCGTCGAAATGCACTGCTCGCGATGATGCTGCCGCGGAAGAACACACGCGGTGCCATCTTGTCTCCATCTTGTCTCCCAAGCGGCTCATTGTGGGTCCCAGGCCACGCGGTGTTCCCAGCCTCCAGTGAGGAGGCAGTGAGGTTCAGCCGCACTATTTTTCTTTCGGAAGTGTACAGTGCTTTACAGCGATACATGTGCAGTATTGTACACTATAAAAAATGTAATTCTATACATTTACCGTACAAGTTATATTTAACAATAGAAAATTACAGTCAAAACACTTCGTCTTTAATGCTTGGGTTGACATTGGGAACATAAAATAAAAGGTGGGGTGGGTGTCGTATTACGGACAGCAAACCAAACCCTATGTTACCCAGTTCTCTTTGAGTTTGCGGATCACGAATTTGCCCATTGCGCCTATTTTCGAGACTGTAACAAACGTAACTCAGGCGATGGGCAAGGAGGGTTGGCTGTGTAAAGCCAGTCCCCGAGATATGAACGTCAGACTTACGAACATCCACAGTTTATTACAATATTACGTGTAAATATACAACGTTTTATCTTATTTCTGTGTTTAAAGAATGCTTCCCGTTTTGGTTGAACCATAACACATTGAGTTCTAAGATAAGAACAAACTGACTTACGAATGGCTCTCAGGAACATAACCAATAAGTCGAGGACTGCCCATATACACAACGTATCTGCAAGGAAAGTGGCTTGATGAACGCACGATTATGACGGACCATACTCTTTGGTTCTATTCGGTAAAGTCACGTAGGTAAAAAATAAAACAACAAAAATCACGACGTTTTGGCCACAACACAAGTGGCCTTCATCAGGTGAAGGGACCAGACTGTCTCGAGGATAGCGCTGGAGTGAACACAGCCAAGCTCAGACCGTGACAAATCTCTGATAAAAACCCATGGGTTTGCACGAGGCAATTCAGATTTACAAACACAGACACAATTTCAACCGAGAAGATGGTTTCAAATTAAGCAACCATTGGAAAGATGTTCTAAATCGAACCAAACATGAAACTAATTTTCAATGGTACAGTATATTTTTTCAAGTAGTGGTATCCCAAACTTTCGCAGCTGCTTAAATTCCCTTTTCACACCATCAATATGTAAACTCCCCCTCCCCCCCTCTCTGGTCTGCACATGTTCACCTCCTCTACACCATTCACCATGCTAAGTCCGCCAATTGAATGCTAATTTTTATGCTAATTCCTTTGTCAAGGCACCTTAATTCCTCTCACACAAGCTTAAAGGTCGTGGTCTGAGCGTGGCTGTGTTCACTCCAGCGCTGTCCTCGAGACAGTCTGGTCCCTTCACCTGATGAAGGCCACTTTTGTTGTGGCCGAAACGTCGTGATTTTTGTTGTTTTATTTTTTACCTACGTGACTTTACCCAATAGAACCAAAGAGTATTTACCGAATAGAACCAAAGAGTTTGGATCCTTGCAGTCACGAAAGCTTCAAATCTAGAAATGACGGACCATGCCAACAATGCGGTGGCCGTGTGTCCAGCGCACGTGGGTGAGGCGGCGCTGAGGGCGCTGCTGCCGCTGGCGTGGCCTGTGCTATGGGGGGGCGACAGCGACGACGACGCGCCTGGCTCACCGGCGCTGCTGGCACGCCTGCTGCTGCTGCCGGAGCATGATCGTGGCGGCGCGGCCCGGCGTGCCATCGTGGCGTCGTGCGCAGGAGGCTGGGAGCCGTTCCTCTCTGCGCTCCTGGCACGGCTCCAGGGCGGTAACCACGTGGACTGGTAAATGCCCGCGCAGCACCCACAAGTTTACATTTTTTTACATTTTCATTCTTTATAATAGTATATAATTTGTGTCTCTTAAGTGTCATTATATATGTTATTGTTAGTTTTAAAGTTAGGTTCTTAACACTTCAGCTGTGCTGCTCTCCATTTATTTGCTGGGGTGTATGTTTGTAGGCAACATGGTGGCAAGATGTTAACTACCTCCTTGCCTGGTATACAGCAGGTCGTGGGTCCGATCCTGGCCCTGACGCTTGTATATTTGGAGTCTTGCATGTTCTGCCCATGATCGTGTGGATTTTTCTCCAGGTTTTCCGGTTTTTCCCTCCACATTCAGAATCCACATGCATTTAAAGTATTTGGCTGATATTAATTTCCACATGATGAGCCACTTCATTGAGCATTCATTTGTGGCCAGGTTGCTTCTGAAAAATAACTACATAACTCAGTGGGCCTTACCTGGTAAAATAAAAAAATGTAGTTGTAATAATACGTAGCCAACCATACTAATCAGGGGTGCGGGGGAAGGACAAGTAGGCTAGATTTCTGCCCAATATTGGCCAACCGGCTCAACAAACTTAATTAATGAACGGCGTGCTTCGGGGTTTTAAATCAGTTGCAGCTGGTCCAAAACTCTGCTGCCCGAATTCTTCTGCCGTGGCTGATCAAGGTCGTGATCTGAGCGTGGCTTCTTCCACTCCAGCGCTGTCCTCCTGACAGTCTCGTCCCTTCACCTGATGAAGGCCGCTTGTGTTGTGGCCGAAACGTCGTGATTTTTTGTTAAAAAAATTTTGTTATTTTATTTTCACCTACGTGACTTTACCCAATAGAACCAAAGAGTATGGATCCTAGCAGTCACGAAAGCTTTAAATCTAGAATTGTAATGTTTACCATAATTCATAAGGCAATATATAGTATCGTAATTGTATAGTGAATATACAGCAGTGTGGTATACAGTAGGGTTGGTAGAATAATCCATAGTGTAATATTACAAGTCTAATATTTTACAGTCTAAAGTATAGGGTAGTGTATAGTAACGCATTGTATAATTCAAGGGTGGGTTTGTCTATGGCAGTGTTTATTACGGTGTATAGTCGTGTAATGTAGAAAAAAGTTTAGTTGGAGACATATCAATATAATGCATAATGTTAGAGCTTACATTGGGCTGTGTATACGATTTTATGCAATGTAGTTTAGATTGGAAGGTATAACATTGCAATGTATAGTAGTCTAGTTTATAACATAGTTGTAACGCAACACAGGACAGAGCAGCGCATCGTGGCAGTTTCTCCCCCCTCCTCCGTTCCGAGCAAAGATGGACTCGTCCATCTGATCAAAGCTCGTCGCTTTCCGTGATGCTAACGTTGAAAAGAAAAAACCGCCACCCATTTTTTCGCCATATGGCATTGTAATGTATAACGACTTACTGTTAGTAGCTCAGCTGATTGGAGAGTATATAGAGTTTATTGATAACATTGATGTAGTTTATATTTTAGTTTTTTATTAGTTCACTATATGGCATTCATTATATAGTGTAGTGTATACCCAGTTACTTTATGTTAATAGCTCAACTTATTGAAGAATATATTGAGTACATTTATTATATTGATGTAGTTTATACTTAGTTTTTTCACATCGATTTATTGTATGATAGTTGGGTAGTTGCAGTCCTTTAGCGTCCACATACTAAATGCCTCTGTTGATATGTAAACTCTGACTTTAACATAGCTTTTTCCGTGACCAGTCACATGCTAATCCATCACATTAACATCATGCTAATCTCCCAGTTACATGCTAAATTCTGACTTTAACACCCTGCTGATCCAACACTTTAACACCGCTATTTCAATGCTAAATTATCCTGTTTGATATGTAAACTTCTTTGTCAAGGCGCTTTACTTCTCCCACCTAGCTTAAAAGACGCTGCAAATCTTAACAGCGTTCATTGAAGCGCTGTCGTCCCGACAGTTCTGTTCCTTCACCTGAAGAAGGCTACTTGTGTTGTGGCCGAAACGTCGTGAGAATTTTATTTTATTATGTTTTATTATTTTATTTCCATTCTACGTGACTTTACCGAAAGAACCAAGAAGATGAATCCCTGCAGTCACGAAAGCTTTAAATCGAAATTTAAATGCTGCTATAAATTTCCACTTATAATCCACTTCATTGAGCTATCATTTGTATGGCCATGTCACTTCTGAAAAAGAGCAATATAGAGCTCAGTGGACTTTACCTGGTAAAATAAAATATTTTTTAGTTTAAAAGCACAATAATAAGTGTCAGGGTGCCCTCCGCGTAGCGCCAGGCGTGGTGTTAGTAAAACTTATATAGCGCCATTCACACAAGGCCTCTCAATGCTTTACAACATGATGGCAGTAAAAACCTTTAACATTAAAACTAACAGGGAAAACAACCCTACACAGACAGATACAAAATTGAAAATAACTGTGTTTTAAGACGAGACCTAAAAACTTCACAGACTGAGGCAAGACATTCCACAAACGAAGCGCCTGACTACTAAAAGCTCTATCACCCATTGAACGCATATTTATCCTTGGTCAACTCAGGTCCCCAGGTTTGGAGGATTGAAGTTGCCGAACAGGGGCATGCAGTTTCAGCATATCTCCGAGATATAATGCATCTAACCCTTTCAGTGCCTTGTAGGCCAATACAATAACTTTAAATTCGATCCTATATTTTACTGGAAGCCAATGCATGGACCGAAGAATATGCGTGATGTGCTCATATTTCCTCATGCCACACAAAACCCGGGCAGCAGAGTTTTGGACAAGCTGCAACTGATTTAAAACATTCCGTGTTGCACCAGGAAACAGGGCATTACAATCTTTATTTGAAGCTTTCGTGACTGCAGGAAGCCATACTCTTTTGGTTCTTTCAGCAATGTCACATTTCTTCAGCCTTCTACCCCCAGCCCCGCTCACTTCCCAGCCCCGGCATTTTGTCGTGCTCGTATCAGAGCTTGCAGCTCTCCACTCCCCCTACCCCACACTCCCACCCTCTCTATCTCTCCTCCCTGGCTCCTCCCCCCTCTATTACCTATATAGCCTCTTGTTTCAAGCAGCCCTTTTGCCCACTTCAGCAATTGTTTCTTGCTGTGGTTGTCCCACCTGATGACGGACGCTTGTGTTGTGCCCGAAATGTCGTGATTTTATTTATTTAATTTTAAGTCTACGTGACTTTACCGAAAGAATCAAAGAGTAGGGCATTACAGTAATCAAGTCTAGATTAAATAAAAACACGTAGCAGTCTCTCAGCATCCGGTATTTAGAGAATTGATCGAATGCGTAAAATATTTTGCAGGTAAAAGGAGACCTTAGATTCCTTGCATGACACTCAAAATTCAAGGTGGAATCAAAAATTACTCCGAGGTACCGGATCATAGATGATCATCAGTCATCATAATAAAACCATTTACCTGATGAAGCAGGCTAGGGGAACCCAGCTCCATGACCTTCGCTTTATCACGGTTAAGCTTCAGGAAATCCACACCCTGCCCTCAGAGAGTCACTGAGATAGGACTGAAACAGCGCATCAGTACCAGGCTTAGTCTGCAGATATATTTGGATGTCGTTAGTATAAAAAATATAATTGAAACCATGACGATGGAAAATGCTCCCCAGTGGCAACATATACAGTGAGGGAAAAAAGTATTTGATCCCCTGCTGATTTTGTACGTTTGCCCACTGACAAAGAAATGATCAGTCTATAATTTTAATGATAGGTTTATTTGAACAGTGAGAGACAGAATAACAACAACAAAAATCCAGAAAAATGCATTTCAAAAATGTTATAAATTGATTTGCATTTTAATGAGGGAAATAAGTATTTGACCCCTCTGCAAAACATGACTTAGTACTTGGTGGCAAAACGCTTGTTGGCAATCACAGAGGTCAGACGTTTCTTGTAGTTGGCCACCAGGTTTGCACACATCTCAGGAGGGATTTTGTCCCACTCCTCTTTGCAGATCTTCTCCGAGTCATTAAGGTTTCGATGCTGACGTTTGGCAACTCGAACCTTCAGCTCCCTCCACAGATATTCTATGGGATTAAGGTCTGGAGACTGGCTAGGCCACTCCAGGACCTTAATGTGCTTCTTGAGGCACTCCTTTGTTGCCTTGGCCGTGTGTTTTGGGTCATTGTCATGCCGGAATACCCATCCACGACCCATTTTCAATGCCCTGGCTGAGGGAAAGAGGTTCTCACCCAAGATTTGACGGTACATGGCCCCATCCATCGTCCTTTTGATGCGGTGAAGTTGTCCTGTCCCCTGAGCAGAAAAACACCCCCAAAGCATAATGTTTCCACCTCCATGTTTGACGGTTGGGATGGTGTTCCTGGGGTCATAGGCAGCATTCCTCCTCCTCCAAACATGGCAAGTTGAGTTGATGCCAAAGAGTTCCATTTTGTTCTCATCTGACCACAACACTGTCACCCAGTTGTCCTCTGAATCATTCAGATGTTCATTGGCAAACTTCAGATGGGCATGTATATGTGCTTTCTTGAGCAGGGGCACCTTGTGGGTGCTGCAGGATTTCAGTCCTTTACGGCGTAATGTGTTACCAAATGTTTTCTTGGTGACAATGGTCCCAGCTGCCTTGAGATCATTGACAAGATCCTCCCGTGTAGTTCTGGGCTGATTCCTCATCGTTCTCATGATCATTGCAACTCCTCGAGGTGAGATCTTGCATGGAGCCCCAGGCCGAGGGAGATTGACAATTCTTTTGTGTTTCTTCCATTTGCGAATAATCGCACCAACTGTTGTCACCTTCTCACCAAGCTGCTTGGAAATGGTCTTGTAGCCCATTGCAGCCTTGTGTAGGTCTACAATCTTGTCCCTGACATGCTTGGAGAGCTCTTTGGTCTTGGCCATGGTGGAGAGTTTGGAATCTGATTGATTGATTGCTTCTGTGGACAGGTGTCTTTTATACAGGTAACAAGCTGAGATTAGCACTCCCTTTAAGAGTGTGCTCCTAATCTCAGCTCGTTACCTGTATAAAAGACACCTGGGAGCCAGAAATATTTCCGATTGAGAGGGGGTCAAATACTTATTTCCCTCATTAAAATGAGAATCAATTTATAACATTTTTGACATGCGTTTTTCTTGATTTTTTTCTTGTTATTCTGTCTCTCACTGTTCAAATCAACCTACCATTAAAATTATAGACTGATCATTTCTTTGTCAGTGGGCAAACGTACAAAATCAGCAGGGGACCAAATACTTTCTTCCCTCACTGTAGATGGAAAATAAGAAAGGCCCTAAAATCGACCCCTGGGGGACACCAGTGACAACTGGGCGAGTTTCAGATGTATGGCTTCCCAATGTAAAAAACTGTTTCCGATGAGACAGATAAGAGCTAAGCCAGTCAAGAGCTGCACCACTGATGCCAACCAGGGTCTCGCAGCGCTTGAGCATAACATGATGCTCAACAGTATTGAACACTGTACTACGATCCAACAGCACCAGGATGGAAAATAAGCCCGAATTGGCGGTCATTAAAATATCATTGACCACCTTAACAAGTGCTGTCTCAGTACTGTGCAGTGGCCTAAATGAAGACTGAAATGGCTCAAATATGTAGTAGTTTGTAAGATGATCCTGTAATTGCTGAGCTACCACACATTCCAATATTTTTTGACAGAAACGGGAGGTGTAAAATCGACCTGTAGTTTAGCACATCATTGTAGTCACGACCTGGCTTTGATAATGGTGAAATAGAAGCCAGTTCAAGTGACACTGGCATTAATCCAGTGATAAGAGAGGTGTCTACTAAGGAACAAAACCAATGGACAGATAATATGGAATATCGAGACAGCGAAAGAAGAAGGGATTGTTGGGGTAAACGTACTTAAAACAGAGCCTGAGAACACAAGATGAGGTCAGCTAAAGCTCAGTAATAACAGAGCAAACAATATTACTCTGAATTGAATCAAATGACTCCAGAAAAAAACATTATATTGAGCACTGCAACTATTGTGGTTAACACCAGTTGATGGTTTCAGCATCTGCTCAAGGATAGAGAATAGAGTTCTAGAGTTACCAACTCCTTTATTAATGAGATTTGAATAAAACAATCATCTGGCCTGATTGAATGCATCCATATAAATACATTGGTGATGTTTCCAGATCTGGTGATGAACCTCAAGTTTTGTATCCCTCCATCTGCCTACTAACTTACGTCCTAGTGGCTTCAGAGAACGGAGATGGTCTTATCCAAAGGCAATCAACCGGATCATCTTCGAAACCACTCGCCTACAGGCCTGTGCCTTCAGGCCCTGCGTGACACTCCCCAGCTTCTGGGCTACAATGTGAACAGGAGGAGGCATTACAGGAAATAGGCTTATGCTCTGTTAGGATTTCGAGCGACGTCCCCACGTACCTGTGGGTGTTCTGTGGGTGTGCGAGTCTCTTCCAGCGTGTGAGGAATTGGGACAAACGCCCCAAATCGCAACCTCCCTCAATAGAGGCTTGAATTTCGATGGGGATTTTCCGAGTACAGAACAACTTTTATGATCATTATTATGTATCTGTAGCTTCTCTGCGTTCACTGATAAATGTTAGAATTAAATGTGTTGTTACATTATCAAAGCATGTGTGTTTACATGTTTACCAGAATAATTATGCATGATTAATGCAGACTCGATGCCTTGCGATAGGTGGATATTTGGTGTTTGAACATCTTAATACCTCGTCTATTATTGCCAGAAAAGGTAAAGCAGCCTATTCTTGTTTTCATCGTGTTATTTAGTCGTCATTGTCTGGCAGGTGAAATGTGCCCACGTTGCGGCGAGCTTGAAGCACCACGTTCCGTGCGATGGACGCGTGCGTTCCTCCCTGCGTGGCTGCATGCGTGCAGGTGGGAGGTGGTGGACGTCCTGCTGCCCGGCCCTTTCCGCGGTGTCGAAGATCGCGTGGCCGAGGCCTGTGTCCGCTGTTTAATCACCACCTTCAGCGCCAAACAAGAGCGCGACAAATGTTTTGAAACGCACGTTCTCAACCGCCTTCAGAAACTCCTGGTGGGTACTGAGCAGTGAATCCCCAAACTTGATTTGGCGCTTTCGTGACTGCAGGAATTACTCTTTGGTTCTTTCGGTAAAGTCACGTAGAAATAGAAAATAATAAATTACATAATATCATACGACGCTTCGATTGCAACGCAAGCAATCATCATCAGGTACAAATGAAAGAGAAACAAACCTAGTAAACTTAGAAATATAATGCAATACAGCGCAGATAGTCGGCTAACATAACAGTCAACACCCTACCTGGTTGATTTCGTTATTCTAAAGATTTCTAGATTTAAGAGAGAGATAAGACACAGAACCGGAGACACATATACAGACACATAAGCGGAAAGAGTTAACACAGAGACACAGAGAAACAACGCCTCCGTGTCGAGGCCTTAAATAGGTAGAGAGGGGGGACAGAGAGAGAGGGGGGGGGGGGGAGGTTAGAGGAATTAGCATGTCAATGAGAGATCCTGCAATGGGAGATCCGGTGACACCGCTGGAGGAGAGAGCAACAACCGAGGGGAGACAGAGAGAGACGAAGGCAACACTAAATCAAACAAACTAAGTAAAATTTGGAAATGTAATGTAATGCAACACAGAGAGTCGGTTAACACACAATTAGCACATGGCCTGGTTGATTACGTTATTCCAAAGATTGCTCAATTATAAGTTAAGTGTGAAATTTGAGAGAGAGATGAGGCACATACACGGAGACACAAAGACAGACAAGAGCAGAGAGAGACAACAACGAGACACAGAGAGAGAGAAAAACAAACTTAAAACCTCCCCGTAGAGGTGGTTCAAACTTGATTTGGCACTTTCGTGACTGCGGGAATTATTCTTTGGTTCTTTCGGTAAAGTCACGTAGAAATAGAAAATCATAATTACATAATATCACCCATTTAACGTGCGGTTTTCACATGACGTTTTCTCTTTAATGCGTTTTTTCTATTATGTATCGATATGTTAACTACCTCGCCTGGTATACAGGAGGTTGTGGGTTCTATCACAACCCTGATGCCTGTATATTTGGAGTTTGTGTGTCACTCTCTCTCTCCAAGGATTTTTTTTCCTGGTCCCCCAGGTTTACCCTCCAAATTTTTAAAAATGCGTTTATAGTATTTGACTGCTATAAATTTTCACGTGATAGGCCACTTCGTTGGTATATCATTTCTAGCCAGATCGCTTCTGACGAAGAGCTTTATAGCTCAGTGCGCCTGACCTAGTAAAATAATATAGTTTCGTTTTTAGTTTCGTTGAGAGTTAATGATGTTTCGCCGGTGATTATAACAACAGCATCGGCAGGCGATTTCCAGAAATGTGTTGAATTATTCGTCTTTCCGGTCTTAAATAGAGGAAGGTCATGTTATCACTGTGTACCTTACCAAGTGCAAAGATCCCAGGGGGTTATATTCATGTAAACTGTACTTGATTGTGTTCTTGTGAAATTATGCAGTACATGTGTAGTGACTGTGAATGTCAATGTGTGGTGCCGGGCTTACGAAGCCACGGCGGATAATGTGTTGGCATTATGTGTAGCCCACTTACTGGGCATAGTACCAGCCCTAGCAGGGCTTGGGTGAGTGCTGGTCAGCACGGAAGCACCACGTACAGTGTGCGGTGCGGGCTGCCGGTGAGGGAGCGAGAGGGAGTGTCAGCCAGCCAGGGTTACGTTGGGGCATGATACGCTGGTTGACCTGCCGACCCGTGACCGGATGATATTGGAGGGCGGCCACCGGTGGACGGGAGCCGCCGGGCGGTCACGTGGTATAAAAGAGCTCTCGGGAGCCTTCGGGAAAGAGCCCGAGAGATGTAGAAGGTGGGCGGGGCGAGAGGCGGAGCCAGCCCCAGCCCAGGCCGATTATAACGAGGGGCCCCGTGAGGGGCTCGGGGTTCTTCGGGTTGCTGGTGAAGAAGATCCACGTCGGGTTAAAGAAGCCTCTAGCCACACGGTCCGGGACCCAGCTTGTGGTCCGGACCGGGATAGCGAACCGTGTTTAGTTCTGCCGTAGTGTGGCTAGATGGGCATTTAACACCCAAGTGTAGGTTGTGTTATGTTATGTTGAGTTGGTGAAATAAAGTGTTGTTCCCAAGACAACGTTTGCAGCTCAGTTGGACTGACTACACATGTTACTGGTTGGGTTTGTCACAGTTAATCAATAGTGACATGAATAGGCATGCAATTAACGGTGCTTGTGTTGTGTGCAGGAGCTGTAGTGTGCACGCTGGTGTGGTTTTCTGTTGTGTGCAGAGCATGTTTGGCTTGTGTTTTTGTGTTTATTTCAGTTAACCCAAAAAAACGTTCGAATGAATAATATTGGTCACAAGAGCCTACTACTATGTGTAGCCTTTCTGGACGTTGTGAGATCATTTTTGGCACCCGCGCCCACAGTACCTGCGATGCCTGCTTCCCACGTGCTACCCACTACCCTCCACACATTCAAGCGTTGTCGCTTTTCCTTCCCTAGGCCTCAGACGTGGAACTTCCAGCAAAGCTGTGGAACACATTTATGAAGACAGCCCTGAAGTAAGACAGAGTGAATTCTATTCTTAATGCAGAATTTATTATTTTTTTTCCCAGCCATTAGTGACACGGGGTGTCTGAATCAGGCTTGGGCCTCTCCTGGGTTGGCTGAGCACAAAATGGGTTCCCGACACAACGCGTTAGCCCCAGTACTCAGTAGATAAGGGTGACCAGGTACGGTGCTGACCACTTTACCCTCCCGTTTGCCACATAAGCCATAATCGGCTTTCATGAACAAAGCTTGACTCCATGGTCACCAAAGGTTCAACAAGGATCTTTGTGTTGTGTGTGCTGCGCCGTATGTGTGTGCTGCACATGTTTGTGTGAGGAGTGGTAATACAGTGGTTAGTGTGCTTCACTATGAACCCGGCACCCCGAGTTCGATTCCTGCTCACGGCCAACACCAGTGATGATTATCTGAACTGGTCCTGGGCCTTTCCTAGTTCAACATGGCCTCAAATAAGTACCTGGTGTGGTGCATAAACATCAGCACTGGGGAAACAAAGGCTGCCAGGTGTTGTGCTGGCCACCCACCCTCTCATGTGCTGTGCCAGTCTTCATAGGTAATTGCTAAAAACACTTGCTATAGGGGGATCTTTTTTGTGCGTGTGTGCACAGGCATCGCTATGATGATCCTGTAACCCTGGCAACTGTTACCAAGGTGATAGAATCTTGCTCCACGGTGCTCGCTCCCGGCGTGCTGCACACCATGGTGACGGGCCACTCGCTCTTCCTGCCCATCCTGCTGAGTGGGGAGCAGCTGGCCAGAGGTAGCATGGGGCCCTCCCTGCCTCCCTCCCTGCCTCCCTCCCTGCCTCCTCCCTCCATGCCTCTCTGCCTCCCTGCTTCCCTCTTCCTTCCCTCCCTCTCACCCACCCACATCAACAACAATAGCAGTTATCGCCATTTGCCACATAGTGGCGGTGATGTCCATATCGCAATTAAGAACGGCACAAACACCAACTGTACCAACTGTACTAAAGTATTGTGATAATAATAAACGTCGGTCATCATCATTGCTTCACAGGTGCACTGGTCAAGTTGCTATTTACTTTGGTCCAGAAGTGTCCAAACATCTGTGACATCCATCACTTCGCCCTGCTGCTTGGAGCCTACACTGCGACTCTCAGCGAGACAGGTAGAGGTTCCGTTATTTCACTCGACACGTAGTGTAGGTTTTCGCAGCCAATACTATGACTCAGAATTGACTTGGGCGAGGCCGCCTAACGATTTAGTCTAATTTTTGCAGGTAAGAGCCCTCCGCTACCCGACCAAGGCCAAACGAACGACATGGTCACGCTAGCAAGTGCTGAACTGCCCATTGCTTCCGCTCACTCACCGCCGAGCTTAAAACAATCCTAACGAACGCATTTCGTGATGGTTCATCATCGGACAGAGTCCTCTTCGCAGATCTCGACCCCGATGGTAGCGGTTACTCAGGAGCCCCTGACCCGTGCTATAGAGATTTAAACCTGTTAAGCCACTTTGTTGAACTATAATTTGTGACCAGGTCGCTTCTGAAAAAAAATAAGCTATTAGCTCAGTGGGCTTAGCCTGGTAAAAAAAAAATAGTTTTTTTTTGTGATTTCCTACCTTTCCTATACTCTGCACTCCTATCGTGTTTTTATATTGTTTGTTGTAACGTTCTGACCCGCCCTTACTGGACATCTGTGAAAATAACTTTATAGCTCATCAGATTCCTCCAGTATAAATACATATTCTGATTATGTTGCGTTGACAATACTAATCCCAGCAATGCCCTTTGCATCCGTGTCTGTCACAGCTGCATGGCTGTGCGCTATTTAGCAGCATCGATGTGGAGTTTATGTTAACCCTTTAACACACAGACTCACCTGCGTAGTTTCAAACTTCCGTGGACTGTAACGGCACTTGGAGAACTTGGCCAAGGATGGTGCCCCAACTCGAGAGTTTTGATCAAATTGAGAAAAAAAATGCTTCGCGTAATCCTGTCCCACTGATATCCATCCGTACTCAAGAGGATTTGTGTGCTTCGGCCCAACGGAGCGCCACAGTACAGCAAACATTTCCCTCTCGCGGGTTTAGCTATTGCAGTTTTGCGGTTTGTCACCAAATTAATTGAGGTACAAATGAGAATAGGTTTAACCCTTTCTGGCACTAAAACAGGAGGTATTAAGATGGTCGAATGCCAAATAGATACCTTTTGTGTGGCAAAACATGCAAACAAACATTCTCTGATATATATGCATTTTATTTGAAACTGATTGGCCTAATCATATTCTTTGGGTCTTTCGGTAAAGTCACGTAGATAGGTTCAAAGAAAATAACAAAATAACTGATTGGCCTACACCAGACAGCGCCTTCTTTATGGCCTTGTCTCACTGATGTTAGACCAGAGAATGCCAAAAGGCGAACATTACAAAGGCAGTGCCTGTATCAAAGCATTAATAGCTCGAGTTGAGCAGCTATATCATATTTAATACTCGCAAAAAGGTTCCATAGATATTGCTCACCCATTCGCAGTTTACCGCGAAATTCCTTTACGTGTTATAACTGTATTCTTTGGTTCTTTCGGTAAAGTCACATAGGTATAAAATAAAATAACTACCCTGCTTGCGATGATGCTACCACGGAAGAACACACGGTGCCGTCTTGTCTCCATCTTGTCTCCCAAGCGGCCCATCGCGGGTCCCAGGTGACATGGTGTTCTCGGACTCCAGTGAGGAGGCAGTGAGGTTCAGCCATCCACGATTTTTTTTCCTATAGTGTACAGTACTCTACACAGATACTTGATGGGCAAGAGTTTGCTGTACTAAACGTGTAATGCAGTAACAATTATGCATAACACTTGTATTGCCTTGTTTTTTTCAGACCAGTGTTTACTGCTGCTCATGCGAATCTACGAAAATAACAACCTGAGTCTGCTGGATTTCAGGTGATTGCCGCCACGCACCCAACACTTTACCGCACCGCATGCAACATACCAAGCGACTCACTTTGGTGAACCCCTTGACATCGCAGGGTGGGCACAAGAGCGGGGGGGGGGGTAGGAATTTAAGATACGTGTTTTGCCATTTTCAACTGCTTCGCCCAGAGGTTGAAAAGATGACCTCTGGATTGTGAGTCCATCGGGCTCATCTTGACCCCACGGCAGCATCCGATTATGTAATACATTCGCAAATGTGCTGTTACGTTCAGGTGAGACTGGAAACGAGATGGTAAAAACCACTGTTCTCGAATTGAATTGTGATCCTGGGAGGCAGGGCTGGTGGGGCAGTGGTAACACCTGGTGTCTCACAGCAAGAAGCTTCTGGGTTCGATTCCTGACTCGTATGCCTTTCTGTGTAGAGTTTGTGTGCTCTCCCCTTGTTTGGCATGGGCTTCCTTCGAGTTCTCCGATTTCTTTCCATAGCTGAAAAAACACCCCCATAAAATGTAACTGGTATTGGCCATGCATCAAGATGCTGAATATTTCCTTAAAATTACACAGCAGCAACAACACCTCCTACTACAAAAACTTGGCAAGACCGTGCTGAAAGTGTCTAGAGACTATATATTCATACTCTAGAGATGCTGGGAGGCTTTTCTGAGCGAGCAGGTGTAGTAGTAATAATAAATTAATAAAAAAACAACTTTTGAGACAAGGATGGTCACACTTTTGAGAGTGACTTTGGACATGAAAAGAACTGCCCCGTTCAATCGTCAAGCACTGTAGCTCGAGGGTGATGTCATCACCACTTAGCGGAGCGCCAGGCAGTTAAAACACAGTAAGTTGGCAAAGTAGGGTGACACAGGTGGTGCATCTGCCAGTCATCTGAGTCAGTCAACCCATGGCACCTGGGTCTGTCCCATGACGTCCTGCTAGGGAACTTTCGACACTTCACGTGGCCTTAAAGTGCACGTAGCATGGCATAAGCGCGTTGTTGACATCATCGCCACTTAGTTGTGAATGGCGGCTGTTATGTGTCTGTATTTGTTGTACCTATGTCTATAATCTCTATGTATACCTCACTGTGTGTGTGGCTGGTGTTGCAGTGGTTTGCGCATTACGCTACAAACCTGGCGACCCGAGTTCGAATCCTACTCACGGCCAACACTAGTGACGATTGTCTGAACCGGTCATGGGCCTCCCCTAGGTCGACTCAGCCTGAAATGAGTACCTGCTGCAGTGCATAAATATCTCCACTGGGGATACAAAGCAGCTTGGTGTGGTGCTGGCCACCCATCCCCTCGTGTACCGTGCTGGCCTTCATAGGTGCTACTCTTTAACAGCACTTGCCCTAACAGTCTACTGAGGCTATACTGGGGACCTTTGTGTGTGCGTGTGCGAAGGCTGCTGATGTGGGGCCCGGAGGCTGTGAGCCTGCACGCGACGCGGCGCACTCTCGGCCGCTCGCTGTGGCAGCTGCCGAGCCCAGACCGCATTCTGGGCTTACTGGATGCAGGGCGCATGTACGAGACGGCCGTCAACTTCCCACTGCACCGCACTCTGCTGCCTGACGTAAGTGCTTGCGCCTGCACCAGCGCGCCGCAGTTAGACGAGTAAACGAACGGTGGTGCTTTGACGTAACATTTTATTCAATGACTTTTCTCTGTTTACGATGAGAGTGCATCACCATGTAGTTGAGCTTTTAGCAATCGGCTGTACTGGAACTCCTCGTTTAACTCGGTCGATGCATTCCTGTGTTTAAGCGAAAACAATTTCCCCATAAGTAATCTAGTAATGATAATGTTTGGCGAGAAACAATGTACGGACACGCGGTGAGATCGTAGGACTAATAATTGAGGATACAGCACCGTGTTACTGTATCAGTCCGTGTACTGTCTCATTGTACCTCTCAGCCATGCAGCTCAAGAAAGTAGTTCACCTTTGACCGCTCAGAAACCGCGTTATAAAGGTGCGCGTTCCGCGGTATATGAAAAGTTTTCCCGAATGGAAGAACCGCGTTGTAGTGAAGACTTACCGTAATAATAATTCTCTTGAGATGGCACTTGATTGAAGACACATTCAATTGACATCAGGCAGAGATCCCCACTGCAACAGCCCCGAGTCTCCCGCGCATCTCCCTTATGTACCAACCGAGGCCATGCCCCCTTTCTCGATCATTCTCGCTGACTCTGGACGCTCCACCGGCAGACTCTACCGTCCTCTTCCATCACCTGACCACGCTCCCTTCTCGATCATTTCCTGACCACGCTCCCTTCTCGATCATTCCCGTAGCCACCCGTCCCTTCGCACTCACAACTAATACCCCTGTCATTACCTCCCGTGGCCACTAGTGCATCCGCACTGCATGCAGGCTCTAGTTTCATTACAATAATTATTTGTTTTTGATAAGAGAGCCGCCCTCCTTTACTTCCATCACATCTCATCTCAACACATTTGAAAAGTGGCACCCCTATTGGCAGCTATCCCTGTAGGCGAGAGGTGACCCATGACCTGGCCTGCCCCCATGGGCATTAGTCTGCCAGTCGGGGGCAATCACTGCTGGGTAATCCAACTGTGATGTGGCTTAACGGTTGTGTAACATTGCAGTTTGGAAAGGTAAAGTTGCAGCCTTTCAAATTTCTTGATCACGCTGCCATTTCTGGTAGAGGGCGCTCCATGAGAGGGAGCTCTGGAGAGCCCTTATATAGAGTATTTGGCCTCCTCCTCCATGCTGGGCAAACATTGTTGAAATAGGTGGGAGTGCCATACTAAATTTACCCCACCGCACGTGACCTCCCTTATCGACTCGCTTGTTGCTACCGCTGGGCCATAACGCCACCTCGCGGTCGGTCGAGCGGTGGTTCAGAGGTGTTGATGGCGATGTTGACAATTTCGAGATCGTCCATCCCCGCTGGGTGGGTGTATGTATTTGTCCATGTTGAACTTCTTTCGCCCCGTACATGGTTAACCGTGCTATTCGGAGGTGCGGGGAAGGATAAAAAAAATAAACGCAGAGAGCATTTCTCAAGAAATGAGTTTTCAAATCTAGATTTAAAAGTGCAAAGCTCTAGTGGCTTCTTAATTTCAGAAGGAAGTAGCGTTCCAGAAGGCCGCAAAAGCGCATCTGAATGTGCACGATGCGGGTGACCGCCTTTGTTCGATCACTCGCCAAAAGTCGCTCCTGTGAGCATGACCGGAGTTCGCGTGATGAATTATGATCCTTGAGATCAGTAAGATATTGTGGTTCATTTGTAGCAGGTATCTTGTGTGCAATGAGTGCGACCTTATAAGCCAATGCAGCTCGGCGAGTGCTGGACGGATATGGTCGGGTGGGTGAATGAGAGACGCTGCGTGCCGTCGTAGACCCTACAAGAGGAAGAGGAGTTCTGCGCAGCAGGAGGCAGCCACTTGTACGACCCCGCGTTCCTGCTGCCTCTCTTCAGTGCCATCCTGGTTCCCGGTACAGCCTCACTCTCACGCCGTCCCGCGCAGTTGTTCCTGGCTGGGTAGCCTGACACGCTGTCACACGTAGGTGTTCCTAGCTGTGTAGATTTAACAAGGCATGCAAGTGTGCGGCAGCTCAAAATAACTGAATGAATTGTTGGTTCTAAATGATAAAATACCCACACATTTATCTTTTTTGAGCTGGTAGTCTAGGTAAGGCTGAAAGCTTTTGTATGTGCAGTGCTGCACACCTGTGTGTGTTAGCTCTTATTCCAGAATCATAATCTATATTTAGACTGGAGCAATACAATGAGCTATGAAGCTCTTTTTCCAGTAGGGACGAGTAAGCAAGTTATTTGTTTCCAGCTGCATTAACTTTGCTGTCACGATGGAATTTTTCGAGCGTAATTTCCACTTTCGGATTAAACGCACCAGCTTTACCGTTGCACCGCAACGAGCCGACCTGCAAAGTCCACGCTGCATGCGTTTGTGTGCGCACACTCCCCCACAGAGTGCGCCGTCGACTGTCGGCGCTTCGTGGAGGTGCACGGGCTCGGCCTTGTGTTTGCAGGGCTGGCGAGCCTGCACCCCGCCCTGCGCGGCGCCTGCTACCACGTCCTCGCACTCTTCCACAGCCAGCTGGAGGGCTCCCACTTCCCTGAGAAGCCTCAGGTGAGAATGGGTCGCCAGCGGTGTCGAGATGTTAACTCCCTCGCCTGGTATGCAGGAAGTTGCAGGTTCAATCCCGACCCTGACGCCTGCTGCACGTTTGAAGTTTGCATGTTTCTCTCAGCGTGGTCAAATGCATTTTTCTTAGCGTCCGCCGATTTCTTCCATCCTCCACATTTTTTAAGTATTTGGCTACTATAAATTTCAAACTTGAATTTGGAGCTTTCGTGACTGCAGGAATTATTCTTTGTTTTTTTTCGGTAAAGTCACGTAGAAATAATAAAATAACATAATAGTGTACGACGTTTCGATTGCAACACAAGCAATCATCATCAGGTACTGAAGAGCTAAGTTTACGAGAGAGAGGAGACACATAACAGCAGATATATATACAGACACAGATACAACAGGGGATACAGAGCGAAAGAAATGTGGGAGCACACTAAATCAAACAGGTTTTAGCAAGATTTGGAAACCATATAACGCAACACAGACGGTCGGTCAAAACACAATTAGCGCAAGGTCAGGTTGATTACGTTATTTCAAAGATTGCTAAATTTTAGAGAGAGACAAAACATAGACACGGAGACACACAGACAGACACACAAGCAGAGAGACTCACACAGATACAGAGACACACACACAAAGGCACACAGAAAGACAACGTCTCTGTGTCGAGGCCTTAAATTTAACTGTGTGCTAACCGACTCTCTATGTTGCATTGCATTACACTTCCTAATTTTACTAAATTTGTTTTCTACCGTGCTTGTTTATGGGTCCATTCTCTCCTCCGGCCTCTATGGGCAGGAATTCCACACAACTCCCCCACTGCCCCAACCCCCCCCCCTCTCTATCTATTTAGGCCTCGACACAAAGACGTTGTCTTTCTGTGTGCCTATGTGTGTGTGTCTCTCTGTTTGTCTCTGTGTGAGTCTCTCTCTGCTTCTGTGTCTGTCTGTGTGTCTCCGTGTCTATGTTTTGTCTCTCTCTCTCAAATTTAGCAATCTTTGGAAGAACGTGTTGTCTGTTTTGTTAGCCGACTCTGTGTTGTATTGCATTATATTTCCAAGTTTACTATGTTTGTTTTCTCATTCATTTGTACCTGATGATGGTTGCTTGTGTTGCAATCGAAACATCGTATTATATTATTTAATTTAATTTATTTCTACGTGACTTTACTGAAAGAACCAAAGAATAGAGGTATAGTGATACAGTGCGCGGAATGATATAGTAACAACAGCGGCGTACACAGAGCAGTTTATCGTATCTCGCAAACGTTGTTGCCTCATTTATGGTGAAATTGTTTAACGCAGTTACCGCGTTAAAGGAGGACTTACTGTATTGTCAACATTTTATTGAATGATTCGAATGCAAACTCAAATTTTGGTCGACTCCAAATTCTTGAATTTAACTTTGCAGAGGTCACGTGTGTTACGTGTTGTGAGCAGCGCACATGCATGCATTTGCTGGTAGAGAAATGCGGCACGTGAGCACGAGACACGTGCACGCGTCTGCATCCCCTCGTGTAACCTTGGGGCAAGTCCGGTTTGGGTGGTGTGGTGGCTCTGCACATGCCTGCAATCCAGTACTGGGGGAAGCAGTGATGTTTGGTGGGTCAACGCACATATAGCTAGATTTAGGTCCTGTGACCGTTTATGAACCACAATACCTTGTTGCTCTCGAACAAGGAGCATAAACCATCACGGAAACTTCGGTCATCCTCGCAGTGGCTTTTGGCTTGCCATCGAACAACAACGGCTGCCGCATTGCGTGCTTTCATCTGCGCTTATTCGGCCGTCTGGAATGCACTTCCGATGGTAGGAAGCCACTGGAGCTATGCACTTTTAAATAATCTACTTGGGCAACTAATTTCTTTCGTATTGCTTTTTGCATTTATTTTGTTGCCCAACCCCCTCTCCTCCGATTAGCATGGATGGCTGCGTACGGTGCAAAAGAAGTTCAACAGACATACATACACACATTTTACCCGTGCGGAAGTCCTTATTTGTAGCTAACTCACTGGCACACAGGAGCGCACGGTTCCCGAACCCTCTGTGCGCCATTGCCCCATGCCTGACCTTCTCCCTCTGTCCTCGGTTCCTCTTCCCCTTTTCAAGTTGAGTGATCGGACTCGCTCTGAAATCACGAGGCTTCGTAACTTGTTTTTTGCCAGGTATTTGCTCTGTAGCCCCAGTGCCACCTGTAACTTCACGTGTAATCCATTTTGTTAGCAGAGGTACCAAAATCGTTATTAAATTTTTGTTAACTTTACACAATTTAAGGAACTAGTTGTCGGGGCAGTAGGGCGGTGGCACATTGGTGATGCTCACGCCTCACAGCAACAAATTTCTGGGTTCGATTCCCGACTCAGGTGCAGTTCTGTGTGGAGTCTGTATGTTCTCTACCTGTTCTGCATGGATTTGCTCCGGGGTCTCTAGTTTCTTCCCAAAACTAAAACACACACTGGTACTAGTATTAGCCATTACATCCCAATGCTGAAAAATTATATTGCAAATCACTCAGTTGGGATCACATACAGCAGCGACATCCCCTCTGCCGCGAAAACTTGACGGGACCTTCCTCATAATGAGTCTTTAGACTTTCGTGGGTTAACAAGCACAATGCTGATGATTATAATAACAGAGTGGTAAGCGTTACGTTCAGCGTCTAACACGATTTGCGTCACTCCACCCGCAATCCCGCATCACCGAGTCGCATTGGCATCGCACCCTCGGCTCGTGGCGTGGGCTCCACGTGTTTCGTGTTGAACGTGTCAAGGGCCCTGGAGTGGAGGATAGTGCGTGAGTGCGAGTGAGCCACAGATGAGTGAGCCACGCGGACGTGAGTGAGCCGTGAGTGTGTCCCCTCTCTGCCCCTTTTCTGTCCCCACAGCTCCTCTATCTGCTTGAGTTTGTGCGGAACGGCGTGACGCAGCCTAACATGCGGCTGAGCTGCATCGCGACTACATTCCTGGCCGACACGGCAGCTCTGTTGCTTAAGCCAGGTACAGCGCGCACGGCACGGTGGTTCTCATTCGTTTGGAGTCGGGAGATGGATGGTCGAACTGGTTTGGGTTTGCGTTTTGAAAGCGCTTTTGGTGTTATTGTTTAGAATGCCCTATGTGCTTGTTTCTAAGCTCAACAGCCTTGGTGCAGTAGCCTGTAAGCTTTCCCCCTGTTATGCGTGGGTTTCCTCCAGGTTCTCTAGTTTTCTGCCATAGCTAAAAAAAACACACACACCGTCACTGGCATTGGCCAAACAACCCAATATTGAGACGTTAGACTACACGTTATGCAATTGGGATTACACAGCAGCAGCAACATGACCCCCTCCCGTGATAACTTGCCAGGACCCTCCATTAAAATAATCTTGGGATTCTGTTAAACTTTCAATGGTGTAAAGAAGCATGATAGTAAACATATCTCGGACATGTGGGGGGAGAAAATGTGAACAGTAAAATCTCCTCCACGTTTGGTGAAATCCAAGAGCGGAGGCCGCTCCTGTGCACGTGGCTCAACCTTATCCGGATTGTATGGACAGCAGTGGCAGCGCGTGACGGACTACTCGCTACAACGTGAGTCTAGCGCTTGACGGACTACTCACGATAACGTGAGTCAAGCGCGTGACGGACTACTCGCTACAACGTGAGTCTAGCGCTTGACGGACTACTCACGATAACGTGAGTCAAGCGCTTGGCGGACTACTCGCTACAACGTGAGTCAAGCGCGTGATGAACTACTCGCTATAACGTGAGTCTAGCGCTTGACGGACTACACGCTATATTGTGAGTCAAGCGCATGACGGACTACTCGCTATAACGTGAGTCTAGCGCTTGACGGACTACTCGCTATAACGTGAGTCTAGCGCTTGACAGACTACTCACTATAATGTGAGTTTAGCACATGATGGACTACTCGCTACAACGTGAGCCTAGCGCTTGACGGACTACTCACTATAACGTGAGTCTAGCGCTTGACGGACTACTCGCTACAACGTGAGTCTAGCGCTTGACGGACTACTCACTATAACGTGAGTCTAGCGCTTGACGGACTACTCACTATAACGTGAGTCTAGCGCTTGACGCACTACTTGCTATAACGTGAGTCTAGCGCTTGACAGACTACTCACTATAACGTGAGTCTAGCGCTTGACGGACTACTCACTATAACGTGAGTCTAGCACGTGACGGACTACTCGCTATAACGTGAGTCTAGCGCTTGACGGACTACTCACTATAACGTGAGTCTAGCACATGACGGACTACTCGCTACAACGTGAGTATAGCGCTTGACGCACTACTCACTATAACACCAGTCTAGCACATGACGGATGACTCTTCTGAGAGCTGTGGGTTGTTGGCAGCGCTGTGAGGTGATGCTAGGAGCAGGTGCTCTGGCACTTAGTACCAGTACTGTAGTATAATAAAACAACATACTGGAACGACACCCGAACCTTTACCATTATTCCTTACGGGAAAATCACTCTCCTCGCTTAACGTGAATCACTTCACGCGGCAGTCCTCAGGAACGCAAAACCCCCGCATTAAGCGCGGTCACCGCGCGGCCACCGTGCGGCCGTGCGCGCTGTTGGCCATGAGTCGATGTTACATGAGCGAGGACTGACGCCATATCGGCTCTCGTTTTTCCAGAACACCACATGTACTCGCGAATCAACATTTTCTTGCTCTCGCATCAATATCTGGACTCGAAGAAGATTCCAGCGTTTTACAAGTTCTTCTTCAGCCAAGATGTGGAGGTGGGTAAACGCACGCGACCGCCAGGCCTGCAGCACACCACCGCCGCCACCACCGCGTTGCCTTGTCTCGGGAGATTTTGTTGCAGGGTGGGATCGCAACCCCCCAAAACGCAGTCGCTGCTGCCGCTTGATACCCATCATCCGTTGTTTTACACAAACGCGCGGCGCCTTCGCTCAAGTGGGGGTGGTAGTGACGCTCGCTCCTCACAGCAGCAAGCAGGGCCTGGATTCAACTCCCAACTCAGGTGCCTTTCTGTGTCGAGTATGTACGTTCTCCCCCTGTTCTGCATGGGTTGCCTCCGGGTTCTCCGTTTTCCTCCCAAAGTGTTGTGTCCTGTGTTGCCGCTTAACCCACAGGAGCGCGAATGGTCATTGGGCCTGCTCGCCAAAGGGCTGCGTGACCGGGCCAGCCTCATGGTCTGTGCCCAGCAGCGAGTACTCAGCATTCTTATGGCTCATCACACCAGCCCCCTGAGCTCCCTCGCCACCCAGGTACTCACCCACTTCCCAGTTGCTCTCCCACAGTGTATGTTGTGAATGCATAGTATTGTGTGTGCATTGTGAACGCTTGTGTGTGGTTTGAATGCGTAGTATTGCGTGTGTGTTGTAAACGCATGTGTGTTATGAACGCGCGTGTGTGTGTGTGTTGTGAACGCGTGTGCATGATATGAGCGCGTCCGTGTGTATGTTATGAATGCGCGTGTGTGTGTTATGAACGCGCGTGTGTGTTATGAACGCGCGTGTGTGTTATGAACGCGCGTGTGTGTTATGAACGCGTGCGTGTGTGTTATGAACGCGCGCGTGTGTGTTATGAACACGCGCGTGTGTGTTATGAATGCGCGCGTGTGTGTTATGAACGCGCGTGTGTGTTATGAACGCGCGCGTGTGTGTTATGAACGCGCGCGTGTGTGTTATGAACGCGCGTGTGTGTTATGAACGCGCGTGTGTGTTATGAACGCCCGCATGTGTGTTGTGAACGCGTATGCGTAGTATTGCGTGTGTGTTGTGAATATGTATGTGTTGTGTATGCGCGTATGGGTTGTCAACGCGTGTGCCTGTTGTGAATGCGTAGTATTGCGTATGTGTAGTGAATGCGTATGTGTGTTGTGTGTGCCGCGTGTGTGTGTTGTGAACATGTGTGTTTTGTACATGCTGTGCGTGTGTTGTGTTCACGTGTGAGTTGTGACCGCACTGTGTTTTGTACACGCTCTGTGTGTCCACCCCAGGAGCACGTGGTGAGAGTGCTGTCCCGGGCGGCTGCTGTCCCGCGAGCGGCGTCCAGCCTCGTCCACGAGGGCGGCCTGCTGGCATGGCTCGCTGTCCTTGTGTCGCGCCCGTGAGTCTCACCCCCAGCACCTCCTCCTCTCCACCGCACAGCCTCTACCATCCTCTCCCTCAGGCCCCTTTTTGAGTGGTGTTTGTATGTTTTTCCCCCCTGTTCTATGCGGGTTTGCTCTGGGTTCTCCGGTTTCCTCCCTTACAATGTCACTGGCATTGGCCAAACATTCCGGTGTAGAAAAATTACCTGAAAATTACTCAAAAGGGATCACACGTAGCAGCAGCAGCAAAATTTATCCCGACTGCGAAAACCTGGCAGGACCCTCCTGAAAAAAAGTCTTGAGACTCAGTGAAGTTTTCATGGGTAAATGTAAAAAACAGTGACAATGCATTTTATTTACCTCGGAAAGCATCGCAGAATCTTAAAAAAAATTTCAAAGGCTCCTGCATTGGGGATATTTGGCTCATCCTTATCAGTGAATTTTACGTTCAGTGTTGGATGAAACCAAATGCCCGAAGAGAAAAGAATCCCCACACAAACGAGGGGGGGGGATATAACTCTGCACAAATGGGTTCACGAACCCACTTGCTGCCACCTGGCCACCTCGCCTCGCAGCCCGACAGGATTTCGGTAGTTGATTGTCGAATGCCGGCGGTATCTCTAACGACGCGTTCTTGCTGGCGTGGCAGCGCCGTGAGCAGCCGGGCGTTGGGTTCCCTGGTGGAGCTGCTGCACCGCCTGTGGCTCAGCGTCGGAGCAGCAGCAGAGGAGGAGCAGCAGGGTGGTGGCAGTGAGACTGGGGGACGAAGCGGCACCGGCAAAACCAAACACGCCATCTCGCTGGAAATCATCGACGAGTTCTTGCACGTCCTGCTCACTCTTTTGCAACACAACAGGTACAGCTGGAGAGGCGGCACTGTGTTTAATAGTTAGTGAGTCCTCGTTTCATGTGGCGTTGGTTGACGCGTATCCTTAAAAGTGCTGCTTTAAGCAAAAACAAAAAAATGATGTAATGATGAAGTTTGGTAAGATACGATGCACTACACACACCACTGAGATGGCGGGACAAATAACTGAGGGTACACCACCACGTTAATGTATCATTCTACGTACTGTATCACTGTACCACTCAGCTTCGCAGCTCAAGAAAATAGTTCGTCGTCGACCGCTCAGAAACCGCGATATAACGGTGTGCGTCCACATTATAACAGTGCGCATTCCACGTTATAATGGTGCACGTTCTGCGTTATAATGGTGAGTTTCGCGTTGTGTGAAATGGTTCCCTCATGGAAGAGCCACGTTATAGTGAAAACACGTTGTGTGAACGCTACATGCAAAGCGAGGACTCGCCGTAGAGAGGAGCCATTCTTGTCATTTGTGCCCCTATATTTGAACCAATTCTCATTTCAACATCATCGTCGTCAGCATTGATCAATCCACTGCTGGATAAAGGTCTCACTCCCCACCAGCCACCACCTCTCACAGTCCTGTAATGCGACGATCCACCCAGCACTGGCACATGAACTGATCTCACATCGCTACATCTCCCTCTTGGTGACCTTCCATTCCGTTGCTGCCGCTCTGTTCTTATTGTTGACCATCGCCCATCGATCACTTCTAACTACGACGCGTACTACCCTTGTCCACTCACTTCTCTCAATAGTTTGGCTGATGTCATCAACCTGCATGCGTGTTCTCTAAACCATGTGTTCCTCCTTCTGTCTTTCAGTGTGTCTCAATGTAATTCTCCCCATTCTTCTTTGCACACTGTTCACTTTTTTTTCCATATACCGTGGTACCTCGGTATACGTCGTTAATTCGTCCCAGAAGGTAGGACTTATACCGAAAATGGCGTATATACCAAACGAATTTTTCACATAAGAAATAAAGGGAATGGAAATAATCTATTCCAGAGTATAAGAAATTATATTTTATATGGCATAATGTAGACACTACTTATTACTAAAATGCATATATACATTAAAATGACAAAAACACGTGAAAATTCACAGTTATAGCAGGGGTTGTGCACTTAACGAGATCTACTGTACAGGCAGACTGAGGAGCGGCGCTTTGTTTCAGTCGTGAACGGGGTATACGCGGGTACGCGGTGACTCGTCAAAACACGAAGTATACTCAATTCGACGTATTCCAAAGTGGTCTTATACCGAAGTATGACTGTATTTTGTTTAATTACTACGGTGTTTGTGAAGCGCGTGTTTAATTACTACGGTGTTTGTGAAGCGCGTGTCAAAGCGTGGAGTACGCGCCGATTAACGAGAAGGAATTAATTATATTATTGTTCATCCATTAATAATTATTTACATTTTCCTTGTAGTTTTTGTCTTGATAATGAAAGAACACGATATTGAGTGTGAGTCCTCCTCTGGTGTCTCCCTGCCAGCTCGCACCTCCACTGCCTCGCGTTCTCCCGTTGCGTGTGCACGCTGGAGTCGCTGCTGGTCGCCAGGTCTCGCTTCACCCACGACCCTTCACCCTTGACCTCGCATGACATCCAGCTGCTGCTATTCGCGTGGGCGCGAGTTTCAAGCAGCGCAAAACTTCCACATCACCTGCCCACCTTCGCCTTCGAGCAAGCGGCAGCCAGGGGTCAGTTGTGGTCTCCTACCACTGTTGAAGCAGTGGTGACGCTTGCACCTTGCAGCGAGAGGCGCCTGGCTTCGATTTCTGACTCGGGTGTCTTTCCGCGTGGAGTCTGTATTCTCTCCCCCTGTTCTGCATGGGTTTCCTCTGGGTTCTCCTGTTTCCTCCCATAGCTAAAAATGTACACTTGTAGGAATGCAGCAGCTCAAAGAACTGGATGAATTGGTAGTTCTAAACGATAAAATGTCCATAAATTCTGCTGTTTTAAGCTGGTGGTCTGGATAAGACTGAAATATTTTGTACGTGCAGTTCTGCACACCTTTGTGTGTTGTTAACTGTTGTTCCAGAATCAGAATCTCGGAGGAATCCGATGAGCTATGAAGCTCTTTTTCACAGATGTCCAGCAGGAGTTACAACAACAAACATTAAAAAATATTGGAGTGAGAAAAGCACACGATAAGTAGTGTATTGGCCAAACATCCCGATGCAGGGCCCTCCTGAATAATAGTATTTTGACTCGGTGTGGCTTTCCTGGGTAAATAAGTAATTGGTGGGAATCTCTGAATAAAACAAAGAACATGAACGTTTAAATGTGCACAAAAATGGATATTGTAGCGTTCATTTGATCCATTATCATCGTTGTAATTATGGCCTTGTCTCACTGGTGTTGGACCAAGGAACAACGAGGAACAGCACAAAGGCAATGCAAATATCAAAGCATTGATAGCTCATGTTGAGCAATTATATCGGTGGGACCCTTTTTGTCGATATCAAGATTAAAAAAATTGAACTCTTTCAGGCACTAATACAAGAGGTGTTAAGAAGTTTAAACACCAAATGGACACCTGTTGGTTGTTGTTGCTGCCTATTTTAAAACTGTAACCTGTTTTTATCTCCACAGACATTGGCCTCGAAATGGGGATGAGGAAGCGAGCACCAAAGTCTGCCTTGCGTGGAGCAGAGCAGCAGCTCCAGCGGGAGGAGGAGGAGGAGGGGGTAGAGGGGGCAGAGGGTGGAGGCCGAGACAGCGCCGCCTGCACAGTGCTGTTGTCGACAAGCCGCCTGGCCCTGGCGCGCTGCATCACGTTCTGGAGCCCTGTGCCCGAACTTCCCGGGTCGCCTCCCCTCGGCTTGGAGCGCAAACCCCCGGGCGGCACCGCGGAGACTCTGAGCCTCACGCTGCACTGGCTGTTTTCCGACGAAACCTTTCTGTCCGCAATGATCTCCGAAAAGCCGGGGTCGGCGCTCTGCATCTTGAAATGGCTGACAGGAGGCGTCACGTCCCAAGTGACATTGCTCGACGCCGTGTTGTCGGAGAGTTTGGTTTTGCGTAGATTGTTGCAGCTCTACCACGGTCTGGCTGAGGGTCACTTTTGTCAAGAGATGTGCGGAAGTCGCCTGCAAACCATGCAAGCGTTCGCGGAGCTGTTCTTGAGCTTCTTGGATCGGTCTGTTGAGGTAAAATGGAATGCCTACTTCGATTTGAATTCTTGCAGAATCAGAATAATTGTTTTTTAGGCTGGAGGAGGAATCTGATGAGCTATGAAGCTCTTTTTCACAGATGTCCAGCGAGTTACATCAACAAAAAATTAAAATAAACGATAGGAGTGCAAAATAGAGAAAAGGTAAGCAGATGCTAGTTTATTTCTACAAATTGCACAAGTACAGAAATCCCTGCCGATTTGTAAAAACAAAATGCAATCCTGGGGCAATTCAGCTAAACAACAACAACAATCCCGGACCACAGCAAGGCATCACACAGTCCCTCATGTATACTCTTGCATTCATTATTCACAGCTGATTTCAGTTCATAACTGTCTTGGCAGACTGGCAGAGAGAAGCCTCCATCCCCTGCGGGCAGCATTCCGTCGCTGTGCACCCGCTCACTGCCCAAGCTTGCCAACGCTGTGGCGGACAAAGGTAAGCCGTCCAACCCTTTCCATCGGTTCAACTCCTGAAGAGCTCGCTGCTGCTGGTACTTCTCTCTGGCTAAACATTGTTCTGCTTCACTGAGGGGAAGGTTTGGGGAGATAAGAACCCTTCATAGATCAATCGATTAGATTTGGTTTCTTCTGCTTGTTCACTCGGGCAAGCCTCACCAAGTCTCAGGACTCCTTTTTTAGGAGGAACCTGACAAGTTTTTCGCAGTAGGAGTGGGGGGGATGGTTGTGGCGATCATTTATATGCATCTCCCAATTGAGTATTTAGAGTATTTAGCTGCTTTAACTGTTCCACATGATAAGCCACTTCGTTGAGCTTTCATTTGTGGCCAGGTCGCTTCTGAAAAAGAGCTAGATAGCTCAATGAGCCTTACCTGGTAAAAGAAAACTTTGTTTAGTTAATAGTTTAAATGAGTGATTTGCAAGTTATTTTTTAAATGTTGATCACGACGCCAGCACACACTATGGCCAACTCAATTTAGATGGCATTAAGGGATCTTTAACGTCCACTATGAAGCAGACAGGTGCCTATTTGTGGTTCATTCGCCGAAAATATTAACCTGGGCGGCCTGCCGGATTCGATTAGGAAACTTCCGCAACAAGTGGTAAATGCACCGCCGGCCTGGGCCATCTCACTACCGGCCCATGGCAAATCTGGCACCTCCACAAGCGATGACACGTGTGCATGCGAGTGGGTGAGAGTCACGTTATGTTTACAGTGTTTTTTATCACTTTATATGTAACTGAAAATAATCGCTGCATTTTGAGCGAAGATGTGAATGGCGGTTGTGAGGGGGAATGCCTGAACATGTTTGAAATTAATCTTGGGCGTCACATTTTGCTAATTGGTTCCGCGTTCTGCTTCAGAGGCGGCGTGGTACCTGATCTCCCTGTGTGTGCGCGAGTCCTGGCTTGGGATGGGCGACAGCCCTCACCTCCGATCGCACCTCGACAGCTTCCTGCAGCTCGAGAGGAACACGCCTCCCTTCACGAGCGAGGAGCCAAGCGTGAAGAAGCATTCGCGCTCCCTGTCGCTGCTGCTGAGTGAGATGCGCGAGGCACTGAAGCAAGAGTAGCCTTCGCTGCCCTACGATGTTTTTATTATTTCTAAAGATTTTTTTAAGGAGGGAGGGAATCATTACTGATGACAGGCTCACATTGAAAGGCACTGGGTTTTTTAAATAGATGAACATAAATACGCAAACTTGTAACACGCTGCACAGTTTTCGTTGGTTTCAGAGGCATTGGAAAGCCACAGACAATATGGAAGGCAGCCAAAATCAGCGCCAACAATTGCCCAACGTCTGCTGTCCTATATTGAGCCAACTCCATTCATGATTGTTTATACACGTGAGAGGTGACTGGAGTACCTGGAGAAAACCCACACGTGCGAGTGGTGGTGGGGGGGTATCACCCAATCCCCATACATATGGCATACAGATGGAGATTATCCTGCTGCAATCACACCCTGGCAAGCCAGCAGATGGCGAACTCGCAGCCCAGCAGGTTTGAGGTTTCACGATTTAGATCCACTGGCCCTCACCGCACCCACGGTGCTGGATTACTGCCATTGCTCCACTCACGTTCGGGCAAGTGGCACATACAATGACATGCAGATGTGACATGCAAATGGCAATGCAAGTTCACGCCGACAACTGAGTGCCTTAATTGGGTATCCTAAGTGCTTTTTGCCAACACAGCAACGCTCGCTTGCATGTCGATGGGTATTAAAAAAAAATACCCCCTATAATGTGTCTTAAATGTGCTGTTTTTACATTTGAATTCATGTCGTTGGTTACCAGTCTTGTAATTCGCCTTTTTTTATTATTATTTGTGCTTGTAACGTTATACTGTATGCGACATCATTATGCACAACACTGTCAGGTCTTAATAAAGCAAGAAACATGTCACCTACAAGTCACAATGAGTATTCTTATTCAGTGATGGATGAAAGAAAACTGATGAAGCATTCTCATATTTGCCTGATGATGAAGCTCTTGAAAGGGGAGTGAAAGTTGGCTGTAGGATAACAAATTTGCCAGTTTTTTTGTGAGTTAATCACTTTCCAGATTCCAGCATGGAGCGATTCTTTTTCAATGACTTATGGGGATGATTCATCTTTGGTTCTTTCGGTAAAGTCACGTAGAATGAGAATAAAATAATAAGTTAATAAAATAACAATAAAATTCTCACGACGTTTCGGCCACAACACAAGTGGCCTTCAGGTGAAAGGAACAGACCTGTCGGGACGACAGAGCTTCAATGAACGTTGTCAAGATTCGTAGTGTCTTTTAAGCTGGTTTAGAGAAGTGAGGCACCTTGACAAAGGGGTTTACATATCAAACAGGAGAATTTAGCATTGAAATAGCTGAGTGATTAGCTTGTGACTGGTCATAGAAATAGCTATGTTAAAGTCAACATCCACAGAGGCACCTAGTACAAATCAAACAGGAGAATTTAGCATTGAAATAGCTGAGTGATTAGCTTGTGACTGGTCACAGAAATGGCTATGTTAAAGTCAAAGCCTACACATCCACAGAGGCACCTAGTATAAATCAAAAGGAGAATTTAGCATTGAAATAACTGAGGGATTAGCTTGTGACTAGTCATAGGAATAGCTATGTTAAAGTCAAAGCCTACACATCTACAGAGGCACCTAGTACATGGACGCCAAAGGAGCTGCAACAACTCGACTATCATATAGTAAACCGATGTGAAAAAACCTGTCTAAATTACATCAATATAATAAATGTCCTCAATATATTCTTCAATAAGCTGAGCTATTAACAGTAACTGGGTATACACTACACTATATAATGAATACCATATAGTAAACCAATAAAAACTAAAATATAAACTACCTCAATGTTATCAATAAACTCTATATTCTCCAATCAGCTAAACTACCAACAATAAGTCGTTATATATCACAATGCTATATGGCGAAAAAGATGGGTGGATTTTTACCCTCAACTTCAGCACCACGGATAGCTACGAGCCCCGTTCAGACAGACGAGTTCATCCATGGTCGGAACGGAGGAGGGGGAGAGAGACAGCTGCTAGGCGCTGTTATACTCCATGTTGTAAACCATGCCATTAACCGTGGTGTGAGAGGTATTAAGAGTCAATGCCAATGAAAGAGCTGCGGTCTGAAGGTCATCGTAAAATACAATTAATTAAGAATCGAAATGGTTTAAAACATCTTTCCAATGGTTACTAAGCCAGAATCCATCTTCTCGGTTGAAATTGTCTCTGTGCTTGTATATGTGAATGGCCTCATGAACGAATCTCTCATGGTAGCCGGTTGGTTTGCAAAGAACCTCCGTCTTGGAGAAGTCAATGCCATGTGAGCCCACTGAATTATAACAGTGATCTGCCACGGCAGAGGAGTTCATTCTACCGTGTTTCAAGTCTACTTTATGTTCGCAGATGCGGTCCGAGATATGTCGTTTGGTTTCTCCAATGTAGCTACTACCACAGAGGCACTTTAGTTTGTAAATTATATTTAGCAATAGCATCTTTTATAGATGGAACCAGATCACGGATTTTATGTACTGTGTTGAATCGGACCTGGATCTTGTGTTTATTCAGGATTTTTGAGATCTTTTTAGCGACCCCTGCAATGTAGTGTAAGGTGATGGTTTTGAGTGGCTCCACAAGAGGATTCTTCTTCATGACTGGAGTGATGGCTTTGCAGATTGTGTAGTCAGAGTAACCATTAGCCCTGAGAGCCTGGTGTACGTGCTTGAGTTCACTGGTAATGTGTTCCTGGTCGGAAATGCATTGGGCTCTATGGTATAGCGTCTTGATGAGGGAGTTCTTCTGGGATGGATGGTGGTGGGAATCCGGTTTAAAGTAAGCATCTGTATGGGTAGCTTTCCTGTAGATAGAGTGGCTCATTGCACCATCATGTCTCCTTTTAATTAAGACATCCAAAAGGGTAGTTTGCCATCTTTTTCGACCTCCATGGTAAATCTGATGACTGGGTGTATGGAATTGATGTGGTCGCGGAATTGGTCTAGAGCAGGCTAGCCATGTGGCCAGATGACAAAAGTGTCATCCACGTACCTCTTCCATAAGGTCGGTCATAGAGTGGCAGTCTGGATGGCGTCAGTTTCAAATTTTTCCATGAATACGTTGGCTACATCCGGAGATAGGGGGGAGCCCATTGGGGTGCCCTCAGTTTGTTTGTAGAAAGTTCTATTCCAGGTGAAGTTTGTGTTGGTTAAGCAATGTCTCACCAGGGGGGGTACATCAGTATGCAGTCCTTGATGAACCAGGTCTTCAATGATAGCGATGATGTCAGGTACCGGGACTTTGGTGAACAAGGTCACCACATCAAAACTGACAAGCAGGTCGTCTGGGGACAGGGAAATGCCTTTGATTATCGATACCAGGTGAGTAAAATTTAGTACCGCAGAGGTGGTTTTCCAATGAAAGGTCGCAGTATATCAGCAAGAAAACGTGCCAGTTTATAAGTGGGGGAGTTGATAGTAGAGACAATGGGACGAAGGGGTGTATCTTTACTCTTTGGTTCTATTCGGTAAAGTCACGTAGGTGAAAATAAAATAACAAAAAAATCACGACGTTTCGGCCACAACACAAGTGGCCTTCATCAGGTGAAGGGTCCGTACTGTCCAGAGGACAGCGTTGGAGTGAAGATAGCCAAGCCCAGGTCGCGTCCTTTAAGCTTGTTATCGCGGCATCTTTTGAGGAAGATCAGCGTCTCGATGAGCTTTGATTTCTTGTCCCGTTGTCTGTTGAAAGCTCTAACAGATAGGTGAAAGCCCTCCCCGTAGAGGTTATCAATTCTAGATTTGAAGCTTTCGTGACTGCCAGGATCCATACTCTTTGTTTTTTTTGTTATTTTATTTTTACCTACGTGACTTTACCGAATAGAACCAACGAGTATGGATCCTTGCAGTCACGAAAGCTTCAAATCTAGAATTGAGGTGTATCTTCTTTGTGTATCTTTGGAAGGCAATATAATCTTGGTGGTCTGGTAGCAGAGGGTTTCAACGAGAACTGTTTGATCTCATCAATTAATGCTGTTGAATCAGAGATGATTTTGTTCGTTTTGGTAACCAGGCTGGTGGATCTCTTTTTATTTTTGTATAGCTGCCATCGATGAGTAGTTCTTGAATTTTGTTGTTATATTCTGTTTTGTCCATGATGACAGTGGCATTGCCCTTGTCGGCTGAGAGGACGACAATATCATCCCTCTTTTTTAATTGAGATAATTCAAAAAGTTCGTCTTTGCTGATGTTGCTGGGTGGCAACTTAGCGTTTTTTGAGGGTTGCAGCGATTTCAGATCTTGCTACGTCTGCAGAGATGTGACTCAAACCCTTGAGTGCAACGTCGACATGGGCAATGATATCATTAACCGGTATGTGTGTCGGTGTGACAGCAAAGTTTAGACCTTTAGCTAAAACGGATTTCAGACTATCAGAAATGGAACTGTTACTGCGATTAATTACGACTTTGTTGACGTCTATCTTTTCGGTGTGTGGATTCGATTTTTTGTTGGAGAGGTGATTGAATTTGGAAATCAAATTGTCCCTACTTTGGGTCGACATAGTCGCAGCCTAAGAGGTAATCATATTGTCTATATGTTCCCAATCCGATGTAGACATTATTGCTGTCCGTGTTAAGTGTGATTTGTAGAGTGTCTTGTCTAACTGATCGAGTTCGGTGCGTGTAAGTCGGATTAAGATCGTCTCTACTATCAACTCCCCCACTTATAAACTGGTACGTTTTCTTGCTGATATACTGCGACCTTTCATTGGAAAACCACCTCTGCGGTACTAAATTTTACTCACCTGGTATCGATAATCAAAGGCATTTCCCTGTCCCCAGACGACCTGCTTGTCAGTTTTGATGTGGTGACCTTGTTCACCAAAGTCCCGGTACCTGACATCATCGCTATCATTGAAGACCTGGTTCATCAAGGACTGCATACTGATGTACCCCCCCTGGTGAGACATTGCTTAACCAACACATACTTCACCTGGAATAGAACTTTCTACAAACAAACTGAGGGCACCCCAATGGGCTCCCCCCTATCTCCGGTTGTAGCCAACGTATTCATGGAAAAATTTGAAACTGACGCCATGCAGACTGCCAATCTATGCCCGACCTTATGGAAGAGGTACGTGGATGACACTTTTGTCATCTGGCCACATGGCCAGCCTGCTCTAAACCAATTCCGCGACCACATCAATTCCATACACCCAGCCATCAGATTTACCATGGAGGTCGAAAAAGATGGCAAACTACCCTTTTGGATGTCTTAATTAAAAAGAGACATGATGGTTCAATGAGCCACTCTATCTACAGGAAAGCTACCCATACAGATGCTTACTTTAAACCGGATTCCCACCACCATCCATCTCAGAAGAACTCCCTCATCAAGACTCTATACCATAGAGCCCAATGCATTTCCGACCAGGAACACATTACCAGTGAACTCAAGCACGTACACCAGGCTCTCAGGGCTAATGGTTACTCCGACTACACAATCCGCAAAGCCATCACTCCAGTCATGAAGAAGGATCCTCTTGTGGAGCCACTCAAAACCATCACCTTACCCTACATTGCAGGGGTCACTAAAAATATCTCCAAAATCCTGAATAAACACAAGTTCCAGGTCCGATTCAACACAGTACATAAAATCCGTGATCTGGTTCCATCTTAAAAAGATGCTGTTCCAGACATACAGTACCCGGGCCTTTACAAACTGAAGTGCCTCTGTGGTAGTAGCTACATTGGAGAAACCAAACGACATATCTCGGACCGCATCCGCGAACATAAAGCAGACTTGAAACACGGTAGAACGAACTCCTCTGCCGTGGCAGATCACTGTTATAATTCAGTGGGCTCACATGACATTGACTTCTCCAAGACGGAGGTTCTT